CCCACCAGCGAAGCCGCTTGCGTGCTAACCACGTACACAGCGGGGTGGCCAGTCCTACGTAGGCCACAAGCTACAATCATTTTTGATCGACTTTCACAGGAAAACCACTCTCCACTTCTCATTTTCAACCTCGAAAAGTCACCACTAGCTCGATTTGTCATACAGTGTGCGATATTCCTAACGCATGAAGCTTTTGTTTTCTTCCTTGAAATTTTGTTTCTCAGCGCTTTTCTCGACTTATACCCCTCGAAGAGCTAGAGGCGTTCTTAGTGGTGTAGTGGTCCTTATGTAGGTAAAGCCTCCTTACGTAGGTAAAGCCCATCGGGCCAGCGCTTCACTCCAGTTCCGTAGCATGAAGCGACTAGGAGTATTTATCCGACCCATTGGTGCAATACACGAGATACATTTCAAATATTTCAGAAAAGCAAGATACCTTGAGTCTAACCATCAGTAACTTGAGGAGAAGTATGCACCAGAAAACAAACACCACTGGATCTGGGGTCGAGCGCACTAACCATGAGGCCACAGCGCGCACACCGCCTAATGTATAGACCACTTTCATAAATGGCTGCCGGGTTAATATTCTTTTGTTTAAATTTAAATTAGCCATTCTGGCCCCGTTCTCCAGTAGAAAATTCAAAAGATTACATTATCTCAAGCGAGGCCAGAAGGGCTGATTTAAATTTAAACAAAAGAATATTAATCCGGCAGCCATTTATGAAAGTGATCTTTGATAGCGTTATTTGTTGAAATATTCACCTCCCCCTCGAAATGTAGTTCAAGACACGTTTTTCTTGAAACAAAACCACCCTCTTAATATTTTCATGAAATATTCTGTTCGAAGTACTTTGAAAGTGCCTTTGAGTTAAAATTTACTTTTTGTTTCACCATTAAATGACACTGCGCACCTCTAACATTGCCTAGAATCTCCAAAGGGAATTGATCTTCAGTCCTAGAAACATTCTTTGGGACACTTGCAGCTTAAAACCTGCCCCTTCTAACGTTGTTTTCCTAGAAAACAAGCACAAAGAGCAATTGACAAATTATAAAGGGGGAAGAGGAGCAGGGAGATACTTCAAATGGTGTTTAAATGAGGTGTCCCGTCGAATTATTTTGAGTGTTGTAAGGCAGGGCAAGGAGCATGAATCAAAGTGATATACCACCAAACAAGAGAGGAATGAAGACAAGTTGCTCTGGTTGCTTTCTGAGAGAGAAACAAGTTTTCTCTACTAAAGAGTCTTACATTTGCGATTGATTAGAATGTCGTAGTAGGCCAGAATCAATTACTACCATAGAGTCATATCATCTCTCTAGACGATCTGCGACAAAACCTCAAGAGCAAGCTCACTTATTCAATACTCAGTTTTTTCTAAATAGAGTACTGGGATACCAGCTCCAATACAAACTGACTTACAAGATCCAAGTATTGATGTCGTTACCAACCATGTGGCATGTGACACTAAAGAAGTTCGAAAACTTTTCAAACGTCTTAATGCTAATAAGTCTTGCGGGATTGACAATATACCTGCTCGTTTACTTAAAGAGACTGCTGACACATCTGCAATTCCTTTGAGTATGCTCTTTAATTTATCATTCAAACAGGGTTACCTACCTAGATTATGGAAATGAGCTAATATCACATCTATTCACAAGGATGGTGATCGAGAGCCAGTGGAAAATTATAGAGGCACTCCCATTTTTCACTCCCATTTATCATTGGGAAATGCCAGGAAAGAATTGTGTATAATGCTATTTACAATCAAGTTATCAGTTTTGTGCACGATTCTCAACACGGGTTCCTCACTGGTCGTAGCTGCACTACTCAACTACTCTTGGTACATCATGATTGGTTCAAAGTTTTGGATAAGAGTGGCCAAGTCGATGTAGTATTTATAGACTTTTCAAAGGCCTTTGACCTCGTCTGTCATGATATTCTCTTAGCCAAACTTTACAAATGTGGTGTCCACGGAGGCTTGCTCAATTGGTGTAGGCAGCGAGTAGTAATTAAAGGAGAGGCTTCCGATTGGTTAACCGTAACCTCTGGTGTCCCACAGGGTTCTTTGTTGGGACCATTATTCTTCATAATATACATCAATGATTTACCAGGGGTAATTAGTAAGGACAGCTCAATAGCCCATTTCCGAATTACCCTTGGCCTCGTTTTCAAAACGAGTCCTGGTGCTCATCCTTTCATATGATAATAAGTTTTCATTCACATGCAAATTAAACTCATTTTCACAAGAATGGTTCAGCACCAGGCCTCGTTTTGAAAAAGAGGCCAAGGGTAATTCGGAAATGGGCTATTGCATTATATGCTGATGATAGTAAAATGTACAGGGTTATTAATACTCGAGAAGATCTGTCCTCTTTTCAAAGTGACGTAGATAAAATATCAGATTGGTGTAAGATGAACAAGATGACAATTAATACTAAGAAATGTAAGATGATGCGAATATACAGGAAAAAGTCACCCTTAGTCGGGGAGTATAACATTGAAGGTCAACCTTTGGAATGTGTTAATGTTTATAAAGATTTAGGATTGTTTACTGCTAGTGATCTCTCATGGAACCAACATGTAGACAGAATAACTGCTAAGGCCAATAGGGTTTTAGGGTTGGTAAAAAGGACCTGTAGGGACTTAAATGATGTTGACACTATGAGAACACTTTAATGTAGTCTTGTGAGACCCTTATTGGAATATTCATGTGAAACTTGGAACCCTTATAATAAACGTAACATTGATAAATTGGAGGCTGTTCAGGGAAGAGCTACCAGATAGATCACTAGGTCTGATGGTGGTTATGATACTAGACTATCTAAATTAAAGTTGTTGTCATTATCTGATGGGAGGTTCGTTAGAGACGTTACGTTTTTGTTCAATGTAATTAATGGCCATTATGATATAGACATTTCCAATAAGCTCATATTTTGTAAGGACAGAAGCACGGGTTATAATTTGAGGAAAATGACACACAGGACCTTGTCCCAAATTTTAGTGGAACTAACGATCTTAAATATAGTTTTTTTTAACAGTATCGTTGGTGAATGGAATAGTTTACTTAGTAATATTAGAGAATCAAATAGTATTGACACTTTGAAAAAGAATGTTTTAAGTTTTATTAAGGATAACTAGAGCATCTATTTTTATACCTCTATACAATTTTGCTATACTTTAATTAGAGGGGGCATCCTTTGTATGGTGCATCAGTGCTTTTGATTGTCTCCTCCGCCCCAATTTTTCCTTCTATACTTCCCATTAATTTTATAGTTGTAATTTATTACTTCTTTGTGTTCTAGTGGAGTTAATCTGTAATAAATAGATTTTCCATTTTCGAACATCAAAGGAGTGTTCAGAAATGTCCAATTCTGAGTCAAAAAGTTCGCTCACGTGGAAATTCCATGGGGTGTTCTACTCGTTTTCCACCGACCCATTGGTACAATACACGAGATACATTTCAAATATTTTCAGAAAAGCAAGATACCTTGAGTCTAACCATCAGTAACTTGAGGAGCAATATGCACCAGAAAACAAACACCTTTTTATCTCCTCCATCATAAAAATCGACAAAAATATGATTTAGTTTCACTCATTTTGGAATTCAAACGAGTAACCTGCTCTTCCGAAAATTGTCTTAAATTATGCTACAAATTTGATAGCAGAAACCACCATTTTAAAAGGCAACTTAGTAACCTGGCAGCACGCGCACGGCGTCCTGAAAATAATTGCTAATGGTGGGAACCAACTGCGTGCTTGATTTCATTTAGCTCATCCTTTGGTTCGAGTTCAGAATTTTCGAGTGTAGGGCGAATTGAGCTGAAATCTGTTTATGTAAGAGGTAGGCGGATAACGTGTCTTGGAGTCCAAAAGACAATCAACTTGCAATGACAAAAACTGAGGACTAAGCAAAGAAATTGTACCAGCATTCCTCAAGTGGCATGGGTAGCTAACAATTTTTACTGAGTGGGGGAATGGGGAGAGACTAAGTGAGAGGCTGAAAAAAAAAATGAATCAGTTTTGACCAATTCTACGATTTTGTTTTTTTTTTTTCAATAAATCGTGTTTTTATTTTTTAAATGACATACCTAAAAATAATGTCAAATTACCGTCGCTATTCGTTCTCAGCTAATGGAGATATTTTAGCCAATAGGAGGATCGTAGACGGCATTTTAGAAAACCACATTAATTGAGCCTGAAGCTGCATAAGCTCAGCCAGTTATGCGAGACAGTTTGGCATGAATACCTTTTTCCTGGAAACAGTCAATTTGACGATTTTCTTTTGGGTGAATGCACATTTGGAAAATGTGAAAGAAGGAAACACACAAAAGCAATGACTTATTGGAAATACAAGGATGACCTTGACTTTAAAAGGAACTTTATCCCGGACGAAGGTTTAGCTCATGTGATTAAGTAATATTTCAAAAACGAGTGCGAGTGTTTCATCGGGGTTTCTAAACACGAGAAAACTGATAAAAGCACGAGGCCGTAATTTGTATTTGCATTTCACGTTGTTACCTACTAGTTGCCTTGTGAGTATCGAGCAAGCACGGTGCTTTCGAAGATGACAGAATATTGTTTTCGACAACCGAAAACCTTTGAAGACGAGGAAAAGTGTGTCGTTAATGCAGTTCCAAAGTCGACGCAATACAAAAACAGATTGGCGGCTCGTATTTTTGAAGAGTAGGCAAAAGCCCGATTTCCGAAAGTAGCAACTTAGGAACCAGGTGGTCTTTTTAAAGAATATGATCTGCACAGAGTTCAATCGCTGGAAATTCCTTTATTCCAAATGGATGCTTTAAGCGTTAATTATTGGAAGACGAAGTTTGTTCAAGAAGTTGCCAAACCGTCAAAGGAAAGAGACCCACCGAAAACGTTATATCAGATTGTGAGTGGATTGCGTCGCTTTATGGAGGAGAAGAATGAGAAGATGGATTTTAATCCTGTCGATGCTTCGGATAAAAGGTGCAGTTTTGTTGCTGTATGTAGCACTTATTATTTACTCTGAAATTGAAATAGTGTAGTTTTATTTAGGGTTATCATTTTGTGTTTTACAGGTTCTCTATCTTCCGACGCGTTCTTGAAAAGTTGTTTATCGCCACGTGTTTTTCTTGCTTTATCAATATGCAGACTAAGAAAATTTGCATCCGTGTTTGAAATCGTTTCAAACACGGCCGTGTTTTCAACTCGTTTTTCATTGGGTTTCGAAATCCATCCACCTGACCAGAATAAGATGCTCTGGTTAGGTAAGAGATGCATGAATAATTAATGAGTTTGAGAACAACGAATAAACAATGGGCTCTATTTGACGCGAAAGTATCCTCGTTTATTTTTTGTAGACTTTATCTCTCTTTTACCGGAATATCAGTCAATCACATGACGCCCTCAGACTAATCGCGCGTGCGCAAATGGTAATCGGGGATGTGACCCACAAGGGTATGAGAAAGGATTCTTTTTATTTAGTGAAATAGTCCGTAAAGCGAGTATTAACAAAATCTCTAGTATTTCCAATAAGCTTGATTTCTTCCCCTCGTTCCTTTACGAGAAGAGGAACTCTGGGAATCAAGTTCATATTTTCGGAAGTAAATGGAAATTAAAATTCGCTTGTTTCCTTACAAGAATATATGTTAGTGTCGCTCTTTCATAGTTACCGAGGCCCACTCCGTCTGGGCAATGAACGGAAATCAGAGCAAAGATTAGTAGGTTAATCAGTGTTCTTATTTTACTGTCCACTTCTTTGACGCGTCCACGGTCTCCTCCCTACAAGTCTTTGTTACGCAAAAAGCAGCGACGTAGAACTGTGCAGGAAAAGACCCCGAAGGGAGTTTAGTCCCCGGGAAATCCCTCGCGTCTTCTGTCCTACGGGAGAATTCCCGAGGGATTTATACAAGAATCGTATTCTTTGCCTATCTTCCACTGGCACTGGCCACGTGTATTGACGCATGCGTTGTGTCTTGCTCCACAATCTCTTCTTGGTTCTCTAAAGTTTTGCAGTTTCCAGTTACACTGCAGCTGAGACTTAGGCATAGATGCACAGCGACCAGGAAAGCAAAACTGGACCATACACTCGCAGTTTTCTGCATATACTTTATTCAGACCGTGAATTTGATCTTTGGACAGGTCACGCCATTTTTGCATCCAACAGCCTCGCGATGGGAGAATCAATTCATTATCCATGATTTTACCAGAAAGCATGTAAGCATCTCCCAGTACCAGGTCCTGACCGTGGTGACTGGAGAAGTAAATCCTCGCAAACAATCGAGATGGATTGGAGGCATCAACAAAAGTTCTTTTGGTTCTTCGCACTCTATCTTCACCTCTGAATATTTTCTTTATCAGAACATCATAGTACATCATTCCTTTGTCCCGGCCTTTTCCTCCTATTGGACGATAGCGCATCTTTCCTCCAGGGGCTGGGGCACCTCGTATTCCAATATTTCGCTTGTGCCTGGCGAAGATGAGACCCAGAAGAGACCCAGCATCGCTGTTATTGCTCTGTGGTGGTAAATCATCAATTTTCTGGAAGCGACGAGTGGAAGCACTTTTCGTTTCTGGGGCGTCTGTGTCCGCCACAAGTCTCTCGGTCGGGGAAGGAACAGTAAACTTATCACCTGCTGAAGCTTCGGTCGTGGGTACCTCGTCGTCCCGCTTTATTTTTCCCAGCACCTTCACTCGAACGACTGCAATGAGAAATATTAAATAGTTCACTAAAGGTGTTCTAGAGTCGGTTTGGACAGTTCTCTGATCGATAGAGAAGTAATTGGCGAGATGATAAGCGGTTGTATCATTCGAACCAGAAGCATATAATCAAGGTTTATTTATTTATTTATTTATTTGAGGATTTGCACCAAGTACTGGAGCAGTACTGGAGCAGAAACAATAGGACATAGGTCCCCTACGAGGTTTAAGCTCCAACAAACCCACCCATCCGACCCCAGGGGAGGACATCCATCACACAGTAATCTCGTGTGTGGGAAATTAACGTCTCCTACCCCTAACCCTGCAGGAGACGGGACCTCCATTTATTCGTCCCTATCCGAGAAGACTAGGATATCTAACCATTTCTTGATGTTATGGAAAGGTAGCATATTCTTCTCAATTATTTGAAGACCTTGAGTGTTGGTCCGGCCGGGGCTCGAACCCTCGACCTCCCGCTCAACAGTCCAGCGCTCTATCCATTGAGCTAACCGGGAGTCGGTTATACGCTTGTGTTCGAACGTAGGGGGAAATTTGTTGGTCATAAGAAAAAGATTGTTGTCAGGCGGATACTTAAATATTTGATCATTTATTCCTCTTTATATAAACATAACAACTATGACTTTGGTCCTGCCTCAAATTTTAAAGATTGGTTAATATCTTAAACAGATCTGACCTAAGAGGAACGGCTGAGCACTTTTCAAAGACCTCTCTGATTTTTCTGGGGGTAAGCACTGCTTGATTAGTGAGCCGGTGGAAGGCTTCGCTCTAGTTTAAAGGTTTATGATCATGAAGTTGTTACCGTTTTTACACAAGTTATTCTGAGGTAAATTCCTCTGTCATTTTTCGCAATATGAAAATGAAAACCTCCAGCAGTGCTTTTATTAAGTTGAAAGAGGGATCTTTCGCTCTACCCAGTCTTCCCTTTGGTTCTGAGCTGCGGTCCGCCTCATTTCTCGTCACTTCTTCCGAGTCACCCGAGGAATTTTATGAGGTTTAAAATTTTGGTTTTCGAACTGAATTCTTCGAAATCTTCTTTTGTTTTCATGTAAGGTTTTTATGCAACCCTTTCCTGTTTTCATAGGATGATCTACTTACACTGACTACTTTGCTGTCTTTCCTTACAAATGGATTACATTTCTGTTGTCTATTCTGCTTTTCCAAATGTCGATCTGCCACAAGGCCAGACTCAAAAACTTCTCCCGTCCCTACCCCGCCTCACTTAGCTCCATTTCTGCCTTTAAAAGCACACACAACCCACAATTCCTCTATTCGCTCCGACGAAGGGCTAACGCTCGAAACGTCAGCTTTTATAATCGTGACTTTGTTGATATATTCAAACTATTTCTTTTGATCATACTCCCTCCCCCTCCCCCACTGGTTTGCAATTGACTTCTCTTTCGGTATCTTGTCAAAATTTGTTTGATCTCAAAGCATTGGACTGAAAAGGAAGTAATTACTACAGAAACAGGAAAGTTTCCATTTTCCTTTCTTCCCGAGGAGAACAGAATGGAATTCATTGGCGTGATGGAATGCATGCAAAAGTAAATAACAAACATAGCATGGATTTTCGTTTCTTTTTATGGATGGAATCATTCCGGACAAGACGTGATCAAAGAATTATTGACCCGAGACGATTCGGATTTCTTCGTAAATACCCGTTGTGCGCAACAGACTAAATCAGTTCAACACAACAGTCATTATTGACTAAAATTTTTTATAAAAAATATTGAAATCGTAAATCACATCGGAGGAACTTGTGTTTAAAAGGTATTTACAATGCAGGCCGAGAAGCAAAAACCGTGGGTGTTTTATACAACCAAAAAGAAAGTAAAGCTCAACCAACAGGAAAAGCGAAAGTTTTGGTCATACGCGCGCCCATGAGAAAGCCTTTGGTAGCAAAACTGTTGGAAGAACCAACCCTAGCCATTAAAATTTTCTCACATAGTGAAGATTAGAGGCAGCGAAGAATATGTATCGCGGAACCGACGCGGGCTGATGAGATGAAAACCGCCCAAACGCTCCTTCGCGAAAGAAAGGATTTCTTTCTCTCCAAATCCTTCTCCATTAGTTAGTTTACTTTGTTAATCCGGTTAAAATAAGGCTTTGTGCAGGTAACAATTAATTGATCTTAATACGTTTAAGAGTGCGCCGTAGAGCGGATACAGAGTCTTAATGTTCGAGACTCTTCTTTAAAATTAGCGATGTTGATGTTACAATTTTAAATCAACAAGTGAATATTTCGATTGGGTCTTCAAAATATTCCTTAGCAAGTTACCTCCCAAGATAGATCATGAAATTTTTTGAGATTCGATTTTGCTTTCAAAATTTAAACGTATACTGTAGAAAAACAACAGCTCACCAAAATCTGCCATGCAAAAGGATGTCTGGGGATGCTCCGGCATTAAAGCTCCCTGAACAAAATGCTGCGACATACACAACAGCGTAGTCGCTAGTAAACTCGATACAATGATGATATTCATCTTCAAAGTTTACACGTATTTCCTCGAGTGAGAGTTGGCGCTCTTCTGTTGTGTCTACGAGGGGGCAAACTTATTTATACGAATGCTTTGACATGGGCGTCCATACCCACGTATTTCCGGTGGCAGCCCGCGTGATTCGTCTCCCGTATGTGTGGCATGCTGTGCGCCTTTGTGAATGGTAAACTTCACATCTGCTCCGAAACGTAACACTCGGGCAGTTGTCAAAACCTAATATAGAAGTTATGATATTACAGAGTTCGCGGCATGGTGAAAGATTTGGTTGAGTATATGCACAATCCCCTAGCGTGCGATTTTATTTGAGCTCGCATAAATAGCACGAACGTCACTTTTAATCCAATGTGTTAACTTTTTCTGAGAGGGAACGTGAAACTTATTTATATCCTTTTCACGTACAAAGAACATCCACCTTTTGATTTTCCATTGTAATTGTTTTTCCTATAGTTGTTTTCGATTAGCGAAACGAAAAGTTGACCGCAGACAGGAAAAAAAACAGCTGGCTGCCTTCGTGGTACAAAGTTTAAGAAAAATTTCAGATATATATAGCATTGTTTAGTCTTATGCCGGTTTTATGTAAGGCTGTTTACATCAAGTACGAGTTCCGTGACGAGGTAACGCCCGACTGACATTGGTTCAGTCAGCTATATTTCGCAACAGTTTGTCGCGCTAAATTGATTGAATTCTTTCCGAGTATTGTGGCGCATTCTGTGCTCCCAGATTGGACCACACTTGAGTTTTGAACCAATTTATTACCCAGGATTTATCTAGACTGTCTGAACTGGATGCACTTAGGAATCCCAGTTCCTTTGGTTAACTCAGAACGTGTTGGATCTCCAAGAATCACGCTCAATCATTGTGCGTGGGAGTCATTAAATTACTCGCAAAATAAATACAAATTACACGTAATAGGATTAATTAAGAAGCTCTCCATAGCTTACATTTGGAGAAGAGTGACACAGATATAAGAAGTCTAGGGCCTAAAAGAGGGAAACTACCAAGTAGAAAGAAAGAGGATAGCTTCATTGTGTTGATCCCGAGGGTTCAACGTTCGGTGGTTAACGGTAAGATAATTTTTGCCGGGGAAAGTATTCCGCTATGTCGGGTACTTTGGTGTGTACCGTCCCAAAAGGTAAGGCCTGTTTCTGAGCCGTTTTGGTCAGAAAACGGGTATACATTTTGGTCTTAAATCGGGTATGGTTTCAAGGAACCCACGCGTTTACCAGTGTCAACTCCAATTAAAAGAGAAAGAGAGGGAAAAAATATATTTCATTGAATTCGGCAGAGACGCAAAGCTTAATCAATCCACAAAAGAGCGTTTTTAATTTTGCAAAGCAAATAAAATTTTTAGAAGCCAAGGGTGGAAAATGGTTGTGAATTTTTAGGGGGCTATCTCCGAAAATGGATGAGTAAAATGGTACGTTTCCACCCGAAAGAGCATCATATTTGAAGAATCGTTTGCTTCCCTCCCCTCCCCCCCCCCCTTGCCCTACTCGCTTGGAATTCCGGGGACACCTTCTGAAGTTGCGTAAATCATCTGGGCAAGGTTTCATACATTTGTTGCAGCCAAGATCTGGAGTATGCTTTAGCAGACGCGACTTCTTGTTTCCTTCAAATCTCAAATGAGGGAGAGAAGGGACGGAAATTAAGTTATTCTTGTCTGGAATGGAGTTAGAGTCTCGAGTGGTAAGTCATATTCTCTCACACATGATTTTTACAGGGGCGCTCTCAGTAATTTTACACCACAAAGTTGATATCTAAGATTGAATGAGCATAATAATGATAATACTAGTTCTAAAAAAAAATCTTGTTTCGTCGAATCAGCACCTACCCACGAAGTTTGACTCACTCTTGTGCACTTGACAGCCCACGATGTCACGACGAAAAAAAACAATGTTAAAGCCGGCAGGCGGATCATATTCTCCCACGGAAGTTAATCTGTATAATTCCAAATATGGAATGGCCACTTCCTTAACCTCTCCCGGCCCCCGAAATATAATGTTAATTAATTGATTTCCGTTTGTAGAGAACATAACAAGCAATACGACAGCGTCGGGTCACACTGAAGCATGAATGATATGGCAAACATCAGGGAACGGTTATTTTATACGAGGTCTCACCCAAACCGGCGAGGGTTTACGCAAGCAGTAGGGCTTACGTATTCTCTTAAGAGGGTTGTTTGGTTTGTAAATGTCCTTCCACGGCTAGCTTTTGGTCCTCGACACTATTCACAAAAACAAATGTTCAGATGAAAAGATTCAGTTAGATTCAAGATAGTTTAGAAGGCGGTTTTGTTAAACACTGGCTAACTTTGTTTAAATGTAAGATTAAGATTCGCATGTATGGAACCACATACCTTCTAAGTCGCCTCGTAACCTTCACTGAAGTATTAATTTAAATCCGGGCATATCGGTAATTCGCTAGCATTTTGACCGCCTTCTCTTGTGTAAACTAAATCATGTAAATTGCTTTAGTTTGTTGCGACTTCTGCCACAATTTTGAGTCGGAAAAATTTAGCACGCGACAAGCAATATACAGCAAAAGAGAGCGAAGCCGGCGGAAAGACATCTTAAAGGATTTTTCTCTTTCTCTCGCCGAAAAGCCATCGCAGCTTGAAATTTTTTTAAGGGATGGATAATGATGGCTTTTTCTGGAAGCTAACATAAATGTGATCATGCCTTAAAAGGTGATAATGTGTCTCCACAGCGATCTTGTCGTCTTAGATTGGACGCAGAATTTATCGCCGTTTTTCTAAGACTGACAATGTAAACTAAATGCGCTCACCCAAATTTCTATATTGTTTGCATTGGTTTGATTACCAACCCTTTCCGTGGTGTTTTGAACTTGTTTGTGATGGACATCTACTTTAAACCGACAAACTGGACACTATTTTTGTGTTGTGTTTTAAAATGATTAGGGACCTTGAGCGAGTTGCCACGAATTTCGATTCGGGTGCGAGTGTCGCAAATTAAAAAGAAAAAAAATTGAGTTCCAACAGTGTAAATTTAAGGAAACATTTTATCCCTCTGCGGGAAAAGGAGACATGATTTGAGTCTTCTACAAGTTGTACGCGAAGACAATTCCGTAATCTTAATTCACTTGACGCTCAACGCTGAATGTTGTATTTGTAAGTATAAACGAAGTCTTGCTAATTCCACATTTGGTTTTTTTAAGACCAAAATAAAGAGCCCTATGTCCAGAGGAGAAAAATGGTACAGCTTGGTGGAACAAATTTACAAAACATTTTCATTACTGCGAAGATCGCTCTCATATTCAAAATATTTTCGTGTTAGCTTATAGCTTGAGTATCCAGCACATGCACCTGTCTGCTATGTAGAAATATTTACGAGAAAACATTTTCATATGTTAGCTTGTGGTTCGAGTATCATATATATATACCTGTCTGTTTTGTAGAAGCTAATAACTTTTTTCATCATCTGACTCGTTCGGCCCTGCGCGCGCAACCCCAAAGCAGCGAAAGCTGACGTGCGTAGAGACTGGCCGGATAAGTTGACGTAACCCGCCGGTCCGGAAAAAGCCTTTCGGCCATACATTTTCACAGCTTTATTGGAAACTTTTAAGAAGAGAAAGGAGACAAAAAGTATTTCTTCCTTCGAATATCATATTTTTCTTTTCCCAGTGCCAGCAACTAATAAGCAGACACCCGTAATATTCATCATTTATCCTGTGATACAATTTAATGAAAACATAAATATTGGTCCCCGACTTACAATCGTGTCTGGTGAGAAACAAGTAATTAAAAAATTTCGAATTAAATAAAATATCATTCAGAACGTAGAGTAACATACTGACTTATAGGAACTACTTTTGATATGACAAAATTCTACAAAAAGGTTTTGGGAACAACACAATAGGCCTGTTATTTACACATGGTCTAACCCAAACTGCAGTTTTACGCAAGCCGTAGGCCTTACGTATTCTCTATAAGTGGCGTTGTTTTCATTAAATAAATGTCCTTCCTCTGTTAGCTTTCGGCCATTGTGACACTGTTTACAAAAATATATGTTCAGATAAAAGACTCGGCTAGATTCAAGATGGTTAAGAACGCGGTTTTGTCAAACAACGTTAACGGCCAAACTTTGTTTAACAAACCGGCCCAATGTGTCCTTAAAAGAAACTATCGGACTTGCTTGTTTCGTTCCCTCAGTTTGGCACTGCTATCGAAAAAATATTCAAAATCTGCCAAGAAGTCTATATATAATCAGCACATACCATTAAAAGGACCCAGAAAGAATTATTAGGAACCTCACTTTAAGTAATCAAGAAAAGACAGACATATTTGAAGCTGAAAGAAATTGAGAGTGAGATTTAGACCCCTATTAGGAGTAAAATATAAATTTCAGGCCAAATGGCTTCGCTCACTAGTTCCTAGACAATATCTAGGTTTGGGCAATCCAATTTTGCTGCCACCCCTTTCAGGAACTCTGGAAAAATAGCTTTGGTGTCTAAAAAGATTGGCAGAGGAAATGAGATGCCAAATATTTTATATAATTGAACGTGTGAACTTTAAAACACTAAACGCACAATCTATCTAACTCTGTCTTCTGTGACTTGCAACATAACAATAGATTAATTTTAAGGTAAAGACTTTGCCGCTTGTACCATATTAAAAAGTTTCTGCTTCGCAAGATCAGTTGGAAGAAATCCCAAACCACAGTCTGGAGCAACGACCAAACGTTCTGCTGGTAAAACAGTCAGTACTTGCTTCAAACGGCTGCGAATCTCCTCAACACTCTCTACTTTGCTGCTGGCAATCTTTACAACACCTAGAACAACCTTAAGATAAAATAATAATAATAATAATAATAATAATAATAAAAAATAGAGAATAAAGATTCATAGTTAACTACAAGGGCGAAGTTGAGAAAGAGTGATGGGTCGCAAGAATCTAAGGACCTTCACTTTTTTTTTTAGAAAAAAAGGACAACAAGCCATCACGCCCCTTAAACCTTTCCACCCTAACATCAGTATGCATATTCTCCATACTGTTCTCTATACATTTCCTCAGATGCTGACAAGGAGAATGTGTTTAACAATCGAGTCTTTAGTCAATGATCATTTCGTTTATTCTCATGACATTAATGTGTGATTTAGGGGTGATATTGTCAGGAGAAATTAGATGCTGATCATTCTTAGGGGTTAAAGGAGATGCTACTGAAGATACAGTGTTCTAGCACTGCTCATAAAAAATCTTTTAAAAAAAAAAATAATAAAGCTGTAGTCTCCCCTTCCTTCCTCTCTGTGAGTCTCTTTTAAAATGATTAAGCAATGACAACTCATTGTGATTAACCCTTTACATTCCACTATTTGATTATGAATTCTCCCCTCTAGCTGCTACACATTTCCTTGTAAAATTTGTTTTGAGAATTTGGTGTCAGATCAGGATAACAACTTCCACCTGAGTGATAAGTTTAAGTATTCTCATCACCTGTTTGCTGGATAATGTATGGATATAACAGAGAGAAGTTACATGTTAATCACTTGTAGGAGATAAAGGGTTTTTAAAGAACATTTTGGTTGGTGCAACAAGGTGGTTACATTGAGCATTTCTTAGCCACTCTGATACCCCAAAACCACATTAGATTGATAAAGAAATCATAGAGGATATTAGACAGCATTAAAATGCATTGCTATTGTGGAATACCTTGCTCTTTTTAAAATGCTCAAACAGTGATAAATCATTGTGTCTGTGAGCATCCTCAATTGAAATCTCATCAAAGCCTGCAGCATCCAGTCTGTCAGCCAGTCTCAGGTATCCATCCTTGTCAGCCTTCTTATAGTCATCTTGATCCTATTTGAGAAAATAAACATAGAATTATTTTAAAGTTAGTCACCACTTAGGTCTCCACAATAGTGTTTGCTCAAAAGCAAATGAGTACCGGTACTCTATTTTCTCAATCAAAACATTGCATCATGTGGAAGACACAATGGCCTAATGTTTAGTGCTAGGTCAATGCATAGTGTTCCTGGGAAAGACCCAAAAGTTTACCTAGATAAGTAAACAACAAAACTTCAGAAATGCTCAACTGCCACCACGGCATAAGTGAATGAATATTCTATAAATAACTGTTAAATAGCTATAGACCAATGTCATCAAAAGAAAATGTTACTAAAACAACAGTGAAAAAATTATCTAGCAAATCTAATCCTCTCTTCGCAGCCATATTATAAATGCAGGTGGCTTTCAGTCACATGCAATGTCACACTGAAGTGTTAATTAACAGCAGAGAGGAATCCTGGTAACTACTCAGTACACAGCACGGACTTCATGAAACTTACTATGTCATTACTTTTCTCGGAAGAAAAGCTTGCAATTTGGAAACAAGATGCTTTACTTTTCACATTTCTTCCAAGGAAATTAAAATCCTAGTCAGACTTGTTCCATATCTAAACTTTTAGTGTCATTTCCAGAGTGAAGTAGCCGGTGATAATTGCTAGCTGCCGGCTACTAATGACAGCCTTGAACAGGTGTGTGACATATCACCTTGACCAAAACAGTAAGTAAATATATCTTATTGACCAAGCGCGAGGGTCGTACTGGGAGAATATTGGCCCGAGGTCTTGACAGTACGAACCTCGCTGCACTCGGTCCGTACAAAAAAGACCGAGGGCCGATGTTCTTCCAGTACGGTCCCGAGCAAGCTTGGTTAGTAAGATATTTATTATACGACTGAAGTTCAAAGGGACACAAGTGCGGTATCATTCGGGACCATTCGGGACAGTGCCCGGTCCAATACTGAGAGAATATTGACTGGCAATAGAGCATTTTGATTGGTTGACTTTAGTTATTGGCCCTCTGACTGCTCGAGTCGTGTAATAAAAGTAAGTAAAGTCTGTTTACGAGCCTATTAGCCCATTAGGCCGGTGCTTAACTCCAGTTTCTGTAGCATGAAGTGACTAGGAGTATTTCTACTCCCCCCTGGATAGGATGCCAGTCCATCGCAGGGTTACCCCCCAGCATTAAATTGCCGGTACCCATTTAAACATCCGGGTGGAGAGAGGTATTGTGAGAGTAAAGTGTCTTGCCTAAGAACACAACGCAATGTCCCGGCCGGGGCTCGAACCTGGACCACTTGATCCGGAGTCGAGCGCATCAACCATGAGGCCACCATGCCTCCGCCGAACAAAACAGTACAACAATATAAAGTTGCAGGGGTGGTAAACCAAGTATTATATCAGAAGGAGCCATAATTTTTTACCTTCAAAGTGCAGATCTTTCAATAACCTTTTGGTTATATAAACTAGAACGATTGACACGTTAATAAAGTTATTCATTCATTCGTTGTGAAAATGTCCGAAAAAATGATTAAACATTAAGCATGTACTGGGATATTGTGACATATGGTACTCTCAGGCATTAGGGTCAAAAGCTGTTTTTCAAAAACATAACGACAAATAAACCTGAGATTACTTCAATCTGCAACATTTCAATGGAAATTAAAAACCTGACTGTCCCTAGTAACTTTCCTGCTAGCAATAACACTAACCTAATATTTCTCTTCATATAAACAAACTACAGAGCCCTTTCATATTGTATGTAAATGCGAGTAAAGTCCAACCATAGAGTCTACCATTTAGAAAATACGAATGAAGACGAACCATAAAGTTAACCGTTTACTCTAACACGAGGCACGTGAGGTGAACTCAAAATTCAGCACTAAACTATCGAATTCAGATCGAATTCAGCTTGAAATCAGGTAAAAACTCAGTGGCCCTCGTAGTCTATACTCAAAGGCCACTCACATGCATGCCTGAGAGTCAAGCGCTTCCGCAAGGGACCCAGCTGGGGAATGTGAAGCCCAACGGTAACATTGAGGGATGTTATAGTTCTTGTTTCCTCTTGCACAAAGAGGCCATTTTACATTTGTGCACTTAGTTGTCGAGCATTTGATTTGGAGTGAGGCTGAAGGTGACCTTGTTGTGATAGAGACCAGTATCTAATTTGAATGATAACAAACAAATTTACATTTGAAAAAAAAAGTAACATTAGCATCATAACAAGGTCACCCCTAACCTCACTCTTATTCAAAGGCTTGGTAACCAAGCATGTAACTATAAAAATGGACTTTTAACCTCCTTAGCCACACTTTTGAGTGAGAAACCATTTTATGAAATAACATTTTAAGACCACAGAGATTAAATTACAAGAATATAAAAGAACAGCAAACAGGCCTGTCATTTAGGAAAGAGTAAAGAGGTTAAGCTGCATCATTGGGAGGTATCACAGATAACTTGTTTTCATCAACTGAGTCACTGGTGTAAATTGGCCGCCATAAACAGTCTCTGAAGCTGAGGTTTTAAGCATTAGTCCTTCATCTTTTGCTCTGACGAGGGCTGATGCTCAAAATGTTAGCTTTAGAAACTCTTTACGGTGGAACCCCTCTAAACCGGACACCCTCAAGACTGGAGGAAATGTCTAGTTTAGAGGGGTGTCCAGCGTACTGAGGTTTCATGACAGTCTATTAACCTGACCCCTATTGTTGTCATTCATTCAACCCAACAACAGCAGCACAATTGTCAACTTTAGATTTTTTGATTCAGCACTGATAGAACAATGAGTAATTAGCCAATGTGTCTTTCTTACTTCTGACTTGGATTTCACAACTGCATGATTACAATTTTAACTTTAAACACATTTGAAAACGTGTGATTTGATTTTGGTGGCAAGCTTTAACAAGGTCAATTTCTTTGTCAGTATATGACAGGGTGCCAAGTGACAAATGACTCTTAGAAAATAGGAAAATAGGAATGACAGTGGCTCAAAAATAGGAAATAAATAGGAATTCTCATCCCAGAATAGGAAAAAAAATAGGAGGAATTTTTTTAATTTCTATCCTTTAATTTCTATATTGGTCTTACCATGCAAATACATGCAAATGAACCTCCCAGAATCCCTTGCATGCNGCTCATCTTAGCACTGACTGTGACTGAATGGTTTACTTATTTCCTCCTCCAAACACACAGATTCATCTCTGCAAGTAGCTCTTGTAGGATTATTTGCTGAGATTCTCTGCAGGTATGTGTTTTGTTTTGTTTTTTTTAAGAACTGTGAATAATTGAGTTCTACAATGTGTTGCATACACTCTGAAACTCCAGGACCTTTTTTCCTTTACAACGAACATCTTTCATTTTCCTTTTACTTTTCTTGTGTATTTTTTGTCTTTTTTGTCTTTTTTTTGTTATATTTCTTTATTTAAATTGTTTTAATTCTAGAGTGACTATAGTAAATTAGTTAAGAAAGAAAATTTAGCTGCGTTGATAAGCATTAAATTATTTTTGCTATGGGAAGTCAAAGGAGTATCCTTGTAAATATAATTATTATATGAAAATAAAAATAAAGTGTGAAGTGTGGCCTACCACAAATTATGCAAGGATTAATATAATTACTATACATGTGAAGATGTTTCTTAGAGATATTTCAAAGCTAGGCCATTGTTCCAGTTGTTGGAGGAGTTGAAACTGTAGGTAAAGTCTGTTTACGAACCTAGTGGCCCATTAGTACAGTGCTTAACTCCGGTTTCTGTAGCATGAAGCGACTAGGAGTATTTCTACTCCCCCCTGGATAGGATGCCAGTCCATCGCAGGGTTACCCCCCAGCATTAAATTGCCGGTACCCATTTAAACATCCGGGTGGAGAGAGGTATTGTGAGAGTAAAGTGTCTTGCCTAAGAACACAACGCAATGTCCCGGCCGGGGCTCGAACCTGGACCACTTGATCCGGAGTCGAGCGCATCAACCATGAGGCCACCATGCCTCCGCCGAACAAAACAGTACAACAATATAAAGTTGCAGGGGTGGTAAACCAAGTATTATATCAGAAGGAGCCATAATTTTTTACCTTCAAAGTGCAGATCTTTCAATAACCTTTTGGTTATATAAACTAGAACGATTGACACGTTAATAAAGTTATTCATTCATTCGTTGTGAAAATGTCCGAAAAAATGATTAAACATTAAGCATGTACTGGGATATTGTGACATATGGTACTCTCAGGCATTAGGGTCAAAAGCTGTTTTTCAAAAACATAACGACAAATAAACCTGAGATTACTTCAATCTGCAACATTTCAATGGAAATTAAAAACCTGACTGTCCCTAGTAACTTTCCTGCTAGCAATAACACTAACCTAATATTTCTCTTCATATAAACAAACTACAGAGCCCTTTCATATTGTATGTAAATGCGAGTAAAGTCCAACCATAGAGTCTACCATTTAGAAAATACGAATGAAGACGAACCATAAAGTTAACCGTTTACTCTAACACGAGGCACGTGAGGTGAACTCAAAATTCAGCACTAAACTATCGAATTCAGATCGAATTCAGCTTGAAATCAGGTAAAAACTCAGTGGCCCTCGTAGTCTATACTCAAAGGCCACTCACATGCATGCCTGAGAGTCAAGCGCTTCCGCAAGGGACCCAGCTGGGGAATGTGAAGCCCAACGGTAACATTGAGGGATGTTATAGTTCTTGTTTCCTCTTGCACAAAGAGGCCATTTTACATTTGTGCACTTAGTTGTCGAGCATTTGATTTGGAGTGAGGCTGAAGGTGACCTTGTTGTGATAGAGACCAGTATCTAATTTGAATGATAACAAACAAATTTACATTTGAAAAAAAAAGTAACATTAGCATCATAACAAGGTCACCCCTAACCTCACTCTTATTCAAAGGCTTGGTAACCAAGCATGTAACTATAAAAATGGACTTTTAACCTCCTTAGCCACACTTTTGAGTGAGAAACCATTTTATGAAATAACATTTTAAGACCACAGAGATTAAATTACAAGAATATAAAAGAACAGCAAACAGGCCTGTCATTTAGGAAAGAGTAAAGAGGTTAAGCTGCATCATTGGGAGGTATCACAGATAACTTGTTTTCATCAACTGAGTCACTGGTGTAAATTGGCCGCCATAAACAGTCTCTGAAGCTGAGGTTTTAAGCATTAGTCCTTCATCTTTTGCTCTGACGAGGGCTGATGCTCAAAATGTTAGCTTTAGAAACTCTTTACGGTGGAACCCCTCTAAACCGGACACCCTCAAGACTGGAGGAAATGTCTAGTTTAGAGGGGTGTCCAGCGTACTGAGGTTTCATGACAGTCTATTAACCTGACCCCTATTGTTGTCATTCATTCAACCCAACAACAGCAGCACAATTGTCAACTTTAGATTTTTTGATTCAGCACTGATAGAACAATGAGTAATTAGCCAATGTGTCTTTCTTACTTCTGACTTGGATTTCACAACTGCATGATTACAATTTTAACTTTAAACACATTTGAAAACGTGTGATTTGATTTTGGTGGCAAGCTTTAACAAGGTCAATTTCTTTGTCAGTATATGACAGGGTGCCAAGTGACAAATGACTCTTAGAAAATAGGAAAATAGGAATGACAGTGGCTCAAAAATAGGAAATAAATAGGAATTCTCATCCCAGAATAGGAAAAAAAATAGGAGGAATTTTTTTAATTTCTATCCTTTAATTTCTATATTGGTCTTACCATGCAAATACATGCAAATGAACCTCCCAGAATCCCTTGCATGCTATCAAAAAGCACTGAGAAAATCTGGGCACGAGTTTCAGAAGAAAATCACTCATATAGGCTTCACACTGGTCTTTTTTGACATGAAGTTTCAGTTTTTTGTAGAATTTATCAATTTCATTAGCAATTTTATTTCAAATATTTCAAAATGTTTCTGTGTACTCAGTAAAACCCTAAAAACAAATAGGAAAAACTAGGAATTTCATGAAAAAATTGGAGAAAATAGGAGGCAGGCCAAAAAATAGGAAAAAAATAGGAAAAAAAAGGAAAAAATAGGAACTTGACACCCTGTTGTGTTTATCACTTGAAAAAAGCCTCTGGTTTCCAGAAATGAGGGGTTCTGGTTCACTGAGGTTATAAAGAGAGAAAACATATGACAGAGATTTTGGGGCCGAAAAAAAGGTCTGGGAAAGAGAGGATTCCAGTTTTATGAGGGTCCAGTTTATAGGGGTTCCACTGTACCTTATTATACCAACATAATGACTACATTATTACCTCGGTTCACTGTCATGCAATTGAAATTTTAAATTGAGAGAAGATTGGCCATTGTAGAATATTTATAAATAAACTGTTCTGTGGGATTTTATGAAGTTAGAAATGGCACTTTTTGCAAATTGGAGAACCACACAACATTAAAAAATTTCCAAAAGGTTAATGTTTGGGAGATATTTCATCTATGCACACATTTTGCTTTTGACTACTTGTGTAATTTAGTTTGCCTACGTCTCTCCTTTTTAATGTACTCTAATGTAGAAATAATTATTTGTAAATAGTGCAAAATAAAGATTGAATTAGATTTGATTGAATTTAACTGGAGGTAAAATAGTCTTTGCACTTGTTATCTTGGATTTAGAGTTTTCCTGACATTGCATGAAAACTGAGGATTTACAAAAGAGGTCTATCATACTTACCAAGTAACTTGGATAACCACAACACAAATGAACAGCTTTGACTACGTCAGATGTGACTCCATCAAAACATGTTGAAAGCTGATCAATTCCATATTCCAAAGCCTCATCAGGAAACCTCATCAACACTGGTTCATCAACCTATCACAATGATAATGAAAAATGCAATTTCTGACGTTTGAGTGACATGGGAACGAATTAGTCAGAAATTAATATTCTAATGGCACGTTGAAGACATTCGCGTGGCATCACAGTAGATTTGGATTACTTAAAGTGTATATGACATGGAATTTTTTTTTTTGTTTTCTGCTAGTGCGATATATATAACAAACGGTTCGAGAGTTAAAAATCGTTGAAAATAATTATAAATACATAGTTTTCGTTTAAACTACGCGCTAAGTTGGCTTGAAATTTGTCCCCTCGAACGCTCGGCCAAAAGGTCACGTGAACTTTACCTGTGACGTCAGGTTGTTTGACTCAGTAGACCACTTTCATAAATGGCTGCCGCATTACAATTCTTTTGTTTACATATAAATTTGAAATTTGTGAAACGATAGAATTGAGCGAGTAATCACAGCGTGTTACAAGGAAAACACTGAAAGTTGTTGACCTTGCCAATCATAGGATCAAACAACCTGACGTCACGAGTCCCTATTCTCGGCCCAGTCTCCGGGAACAATTTTACACATAAATTTAGCGTGTTTCGGGCGCTAAAAATCGACCAAAAAAATTGTTTCATTCATTTTAAACTCTCAAACCGTTTATTATACACATGGAACTAGCTATCAACGAAAAAAAAAATTTCGTGTCATATACACTTTAAGCGTTTCACGGGAAAATTAAGTCATTCTAGGTCGGTCAGTCTTAGGTTTGACTACTTTCTTTTTCCTTATTTAATGTAATTTTGTTTTACAACTCTCTGCAAAATACCACTGCTTTCATTGAATCCTTGTGTGATTAGTAGTGTAACTTGGTTTACTTTAGTTACCCTTTCCTCTGGGTATAGTGTTGCTGCATTAGATGAGGAACATGTTTCCACTTATTTTTTGGCCACTTCTAAAGAGTGGTTTTTTAGTGGTTTTTCGTATCTGGAGTGGCGTAGCACAGGCTATTTTTGTATAACCCTTAAGTTTCAGTGAATACTTGCAGTATATTGCAGATTGTAGTTGGATGCGTATACTACAAGGCTGGCTGACTCATCCTAAATAAACTTTCACATTGAATATCTTGCCTGAGTGTAGTCAGAATCAAATTATTAAGTCACCGAAAAGCCGAAGAAGAAAAGAAATCTTTCACTTGAGAGTTGGCCAAACTCAAATACTCAAAGGCCCCTCAAATGTGTTATTATATATTTTTAGGTAATTATGCACTTAATTACTGGCCCCAAAGGAAACAGTGAGCAGTGGGCTTTTTTTCTCAAGATCCTGATTGTTTCCTGAGGCAAAGCTAGACGCTAGACGATAGGTAAACAACATTGACAAAAACATGCTGTTTAACTCTCCCCTCGGAGGTAAAAACTCATGGTTTCCCTTGGGACCAGACTTAAAATTGCTTAAACAATTTAGTTTGTACACGATAGTTAACAATTTAGTTTGTACACGATCATTTAAATTTAAGTCCCAAGTACGGTGTGCCTGACTTCCTGTAATTGAGATACGCGACTATCAGGCCGGTTAGGACTTGAGCTTATAACATACCTGAATAACCTTACAGCCTGCCGATACAAGAGCTTTAATTTCCTTGCTTAAAATTTTTGTCAACACAGCACCAAAAACATTCTGATCGTTGTAATATTGATCGGCGACTGTGTGCGCAATCGTCATGGGTCCCGGAAGAGTAATTTTCACAGGAAGTTTGGATAAAGCCTGTGAACTCTTCCATTCTTTCCAAACCCAACCTTCATTTTCTTGCGCCGATACCTCTCCTACAACTCGTGGTAATAGTATTGTTGCAGCATCGTCGCGAATAGACGTCAGGCATAAATTTTTGAAATCAAAGCCATTCAGCTTTCTACAAAAGTAATTGACATAGTTTTCACGCCTTACTTCTCCATCTGTAATCACATCGAGACCAGCTTCGCTCTGTATTTCGATCACTTCTCGAATGGCTCTGGTAAACAATTCTTCTATGTCGGTGGATGAAGAATTCTGCAAAAACCGATTGTATTCACTGGGGAAATTTTCGGCGTACGCTGGCTGAAACCAGTCTGGTATTTGAAGATAAGAAGGCTTTCGAAAACTACCAATAACTGTGGTCGAAAGAGGCATCTTAACGCTGGAGTAAGCGTCGGAGTAAGACAATGGAAGTAGCCGCAGCCAGCCTAGTCCCCTTGGGATATTGTTACTGCCGCCTACCACTACTGCCAGTACTCCATCGTGCCCCTTCCCCCGCTTGGCATTTCGTCAGGATCTGTAAATACGTTCAATTTAAGATACTTTTGGGCGGAAAGAGGTAATGTGCATAATTTTGGGCACAATGCCGGTATAACGAATAAATTTTACAAAAATATTCACTTAGCCTTTTCACGCATCACGTATAAATTCATACTACAATGAATATAGGAAGTTCATATATTTTGAACTGCGGTATTAGATACGTATGATGCACGATCCTCGCAGTAGAGAGCGCTAGTTATGCAATAGCGAAAATCAGACCTGAAAAAAATCAGGCCTGTACGGGATTCGAACCACTGACCACTGCGATACTGGTGCAGCGCTCTACCAATTGAGCTAACAAGCCAACTGAGGGAAGGCCGTTAAGTTGATTTGTAATAAACCCGTGATGATAAATCAGATACAATGAATATATGAAGTTCATATATTTTGAACTGCGGTATTAGATACGTATGATGCACGATCCTCGCAGTAGAGAGCGCTATTTATGCAATAGCGAAAATCAAACCTGAAAAAAATCAGGCCTGTACGAGGTCAGTGGTTCGAATCCCGTACAGACCTGATTTTTTTCAGGTCTGATTTTCGCTGTTGCATAAATAGCGCCCTCTACTGCGAGGATCGTGCATCATACGTAAAATTCATACTTCGTTCACGTTCACGCGAAATTTGAGACGATCACGTTTCACGTTAAAATAAAAAAGTCACTAGCGAATTAATGTTTTCGCTTTTATCCAGTCTTGACCAGTCTTCTGCGAGAAAAGGTGATGTAATGACTGATCTCATTAATTGAAGGACCATTAGTGGTCTGTTTAATGACTTTTATCGATCCATATGAAGTCCGTGTCCTGTCAAAACCGTGGTCAAACTCTCTGAAATCTAGGCACAGCCGTTCGAGAACGATACGTACATTTTCAAAACTAAATAGCCGGGACTTTATCACGCAAATTGAAACGGTTCACGAGTCACGTTTAATTCAGCTCTCACTAACGAGTCACGTTTAGATAAAAAAAAAAAAATTAGTTCACGTGAACATGAAAAGATCTCAACATTTTAAACCACGATTCACGGGTAAAGAAAAAATCAGATCACGATTCACGAGAAAAAAATCATCCAATCACACTTCTCGTAAAAAGTTTAGGGGACCTTCTTTGTCTCTTGCACGGAATTTGACCAGTCAAATGTCGTCTGAAAATAGTCAAACTTACTTCTTCCTCAACTCTTAGTATTATCCTTACCTTAAATATGTTGAAATCACTATTGCATGAACTATTCATTTACCTGAATATATTTACATCCAGCGAAAACAAGAGCCTTGATCTCACTGTTAATTATCTTCGCGAAGATTTTCCCTAGCGCTTTGTCATCATAATAATATTGATCCTCGGTGGAGTTTATTATTGTCATGGGTCCTGGTATGGTAATTTTCATGGGCAAAGTCGATAAATCTTGAGAAAATTTCCATTCTTTCCATACCCACGCTTCACTTTCTCGCGGCGTCACCTGGCCAACGATACGAGGAACGTCCGTGACACATGCACCATCGCGACAGTTTTTAGAAAACAAATTGTGAAAGTCAAACCCTTTTAGCGCCCGACAGAAATGCAAGATGTAAGACTCTCGCCGTAACTCGCCATCACTGATCACATCAATGCCAGCTTCGGCTTGAATATCTATTATTTCTTTTGTAGCTCTCATGATCAGATCTTCTGTTTCTGCTTTAGACGAGGTTTCGAGAAATCGATTATAATTTTCGGTAAATGTCCCAGTGTGGGAGGTTTTGAACCAGTCTGGAATGTGCAGATAGGAAGGCTTCGGAAAACTACCAATTACTGTGGATGGGAGAGGCATCTTTCTTTCAGTTCAAGGATGAAAGTATCACAAATCGATAATACACTTGAACTAAAATCAAACCAGATCCTTGGCCGAGTAACTGTCACGCAGTTTGTCACGCAAGGTTAATGAACACCTCCCTTCCTTATTGAGTCCTCCCGCTTTACATGAACAAACCTCTGGATCAATTTTGTTTTAGCAAAGCTCGTTGTTTTCATTAAAAGAAAAGTAAATGAAATGTTTCCTACGCAGAAAAGTGTATTGGAGCTGTGCTAACAAGGAAATTATTATTTTGCATTATGCTCTCACCAACAGAAAAAAGTCATCATTATTATTTTCTCTCCATGATGATTTTTAAATTTTGGTCGCGATTTTCATTGAAGGAAGGGTCATGGTACGTAGATCATAATAAAAACGGTGAGACGCGGGAAAGTGCCGCCATTAGTTTTTTTTTTTTTTTTTCTAGCGGAAAGAAGTGTTAGATATAAAAGTCACAACATTTTATTTTGTGCTTTTTTTTTTCGTAATCTGAGAAATATTCACGTAATAAAGAGGGAAAGGGTATTCCCCTCTCTTGATTTCTTCTAAACCACCCATTTCGTCAACTCAGTGGAGATGAGAAATGCTGAGTTACTCGGAGGTGGTGGGTGGTGTTGTTAGTAGGGGTTTGTCACATCTTAGGGGAAGGGGATATGGAACTTCCCCTGGGTTGCATGGGGATGTCCATCCAAAAGGGGTACTCGTATTATGAAATATAACTGTAAGGGCAGCTCTGAGCTTAGTTATAGACCAAAATACTTCTTTTCTCTCCTCTTCACATACCAGGTTATGGTGGTGTAAGGGTCTGGATCGGCAGGCAGAGCTTCTCTGTTCAAAAATAGATCAAGTATCTCTGAGGCTCTAAACACTTTTCATATTATCCATGCTGCTCAAGAGGCACATTTGCCACTGAAACACATGGCAATTAGAAAGCAAGAAGGGCCAATCACCAGTGGGGAAGTCTCCTGCACTTCCTTTTTTTGGTCTTCAATGGCATTGATGATTAAGGATTAAGATGGTTGAATTGTAGGCAACAGAGGATTTTGGAGAGAAGATATTTTACATAATTTCATTTATGTGGTCAATCTTGATCATCAAAAAAGTTTTCAAACTGCTTGTGCGATCACAGATCTTTCAAACCTTGCTCCTGCCCTTTAATCACGAAATCCAGGAATAGTTTGTAAGTTTTTCTCTATATGTACGTATGACATCCCAAATGTGGTACTACAGCAGTGATTAACATTCAAATTCGACACAACAGAATACAGTAATCAGACTTTTCTCAGTTTTATCTTTCCTGCAAACTGGCAAAAAAAGAGTGAACAACACATATAACAAGAGAAGAACAAAGAAAAGTGGAAACACAAACAAAGATCAAGTTCTTCTGTTGTTGTTGTTATTATTTTTTTTTTAACAAATCAATTTTTTTTCATCCAATTCGCAGAACCTTAGGTGGCCACTACACCCTTAGAAAACGAGGTGCGAGTACAAGTTTAATGATCCTGAATTCTGAGGGAGTAATAATCAGATTTTAAAAATTGTTTCCCAATTGAGGAGAGAATGCATTGCAATGATCGCTGTTTTGCCAAGAAAAAATAAACAACAAAAAAACATAAAAATGAAAAAATTTGCCTAAGATCATCTCTCAGAATTATTTTAAGTTGCTCTTGATTTCTGGGTATGCAGATGAAAACAATGTGGTTGACAAAGATACACTGTATTTCTGATTGAAAGATGTTCTGCTATAACAAAACATGTTATGTTACCATGTTATGGGTTACAGGACTGTCAAAATGAGCCAACAACTGGGGCATTTCACCATCTATTCTGAGAAACCCACCCATCATTGTGAATGGTTGTAACTCAATCTTCAGCAAGGTAGCAGGACATCAATGGAAATAAAACTGTTTAGTGCCCCTTACTTTGTTTCACGGTCCAGTAATTCAAAATTTTATTAACAACCCTGTAGGATGTGATGGATAATCTGTTACTCTACACATTTTACTGGGTGTTTTAAGAAGCTCTTTCAAATAAATTAATTTATAACTTAAAATGATTGCATTGCTCTCGCATTCAATCATGTACTTGCATCAGCACTTTAAAAAGAACCCAACAATAAAGTATCCCCATTTAAAGGAAGTCTCTCCCTCCAGTCCTTAGAAAATTTTTCTTGTATTTACACAAAATATTACAGACATTTTCAGTCTTAATGCGACCTATTTAATACAGTTAGCTACAAGCCTATGACATGCTCTCATCATGATGTGGCAGAATTAACATGACAATTAAATGCTTGTGGGTGCACCAGGGATCTCCTTGAGTGCACTATCACATGACATAAGTCTCTTGTGCAGTTTTTCAACTTCAGCATCACATCGTTTCCTTTTAAGTTTGAGGGAAGAAACCTCCAATTTCATCCTTTCAATTTCTTTCAGTTTGGTATTGACCTGAGCATCAATTTCTTTGAAAAAAAAAAAATAAATAAATAGAACTGAGTGTCAATTACTAAAACAACCAAGTTTAGGTATATGGCAAACTCAAACAAAAGAGCTAGAACAGTTTGCATCATTAGTGTCACATTTCTCTTGTTAAAAGGATTTTGGGAAATTGTACCCACTACTAATAATTTAATAATAATATTAATTTAATATTTATTTTGCACAAGTTAACATGTGGATATGATCAAATGCACATCCCAACACTTTTCAGGGGACTTTGGCCCGACTGCATCAGCAGTTTACAAACAATCGAAGGAAACTTATTTGAAGATGCCCCCTCCCCCCCCCAATTCCTAGTAGACAGGCCAGACCACATCACAGTAATCTCATGAGTGGGTTCTTTAACATCCCCTGCCTAACCAAATTAACTAATTAATAGATGCAGGGGACGGGACCTACGGTTTATTTGTCCTTATCCGAGAAGACTAGAATGTCTATCCATTTCTTATTAAAGAAAGGTAGCACATTCTCCTCAGTTATTTTAAGACCTTGAGTGCTGGTCTGGCCAGGGCTCGAACCATCAACCTCCCACACAACAGTCCAGCACTCTAACCAATTGAGCTACCCTCCCCTCCCATGGAGCATGTGACCTAGTGTGCAGAATGGCCAGAATACTACAAATGCAAGTTGTAACTCCTTATCACCACCATGACTAAAACAAGCAAATGGGAAGAGAAAACATCTTTGAAGAAACTTAAGTGTTTTGTAATCCTGAAAGCTTGATTTTGCCCCAACAATTATTCTTCTAGTATCTCAGTGGTTTCAACCACCCAGGTAAAATGTAGTTTCCTGACTGGGTGTGTATGTAATTATGGTTTTTCACCAAAATTACAAAATACACTCTGTATGGTGATCTGTGAGAACAACCTTGCCTTAAGTTACATTTTAGCACATTAGAAAGGTCAGCAAATGCACCTTTGGCTTGAGTCTGTATTTTTCGCAGGTTCCCTTCATCTCTACTGCGAGCCCTAGCAAGTAATGCAGAAACATCATGCAGCAATCCAGCTTCTCCAAGGTGCTTCAGCAGTGGTGAGTTGCCCAAAAATTCTGAAAACAGAAAAAAAAAGGTTAGATATAATTTTTTTCTCTTACAGAGTACAGTGAACGACCATGGATTTCTTTTCAAAGCCTTTAAGTTGAATTGTAACAGATTTCGAAAACTCTAGCAGATTTTTGACATCGATCTTTCAGTACAGTTGCTGTTAGAAAGAAAACCACTCAAGTGTATGTCATTTTGACAGATGTCAATCAATCCAATCCTTTATTTTAAAACAATGATTGTTAAAGCTGTAAAGCTTGTCAGAGGTAGATGTAGTTCCACATAGCCTAATTCTACAAGAACCTTTTCACCAGTCAGTTGAAAAGGTCCTCATTGAGTGCATTTTATCACCAAGGTACAGTATATTTCCACATTATTTTACTGATGAGTGTTTGTCTAATGCAGCATTCCAACTGCTCAGCTTAATTTTCTGTTTGATCACTTGACTGTTATTTGACCCTTGCTTCTTTAATGCACACAAACTGTTTATACAAAAACAAGCCCCAGAGCAGGGTCTTACAAATCTTTTGTACATGTTGCCAGCAATAAATTTAAGATTCAGATTCTCTTTGACCTGCTTCCCTAGTCCTGCACCAAAAAGAAGCTTTCTCTCACATAAACACACATTTTCAGCGAGAATGAATTAGTAAAATGAACAATTTAGAGTGTTATCAACACATTTCAAGTGAAAATAGTGGGAAAAAATCAGAAACTTCCTCAAAAATGTAAGGATTTTGGGATATTTGGCAATAAAAAGAAACCACAACAACCTTAATATCTAATTTATTTTCATTGTAGTGTCTTCTCTATTGATAAGAGTTATGCAGAAAATTATATCTTGTTGTATTAAATATAGCCTAACTGGGCAATGCAATTCAGATAAGCCCATTTTGCTTGTACAGAGAATCTTGTACAGAATCTCTAAACTTAGCTAGTATTCTACATGAGTTTAGTCAAAACTCATTGCAACAGGCCACAAAAAATTGTTAGACAAGGTTAGTTAGACTGAAATCCTGCCAAAAGTCACTCCCACCTCACCTGAGCATGATGCACTGGATGAAGCTTGCTCTTCTTGTAGCTGTTGTATTTGCTGCAAAACAATGGGACGCCTATTCAACACAAGCAGATAAGACCCAAATAAAGTTTGATAATCCATTTATCACGTACAGCCATTTAATAGCATATAAAAAATGTTGATATTTACCCACTGAGAAGACAAATGCAAGCTGTTTGAATTAATCTGAGACAAACCTGTTCAGCATCTTCATTGTCATCTAAAGGCTCCACCTTTATATTCACTGATTGGACATGAGTAATACGAGGGTAGCCAAGAGAATCGTCATCATCATTGTCAATGATTGAAGCACTAGCAGGGGAGTGTCCATTAAGACTGGTTGGAGGTGATGGTGTGACAAGGCCAGAATAAGTAGCTAGCTCTCCAGTGCTTTCTGCCACAGATAAGTTGTCAAGTACCGACTCATCTGTCTCAACCACCTGAAGGAATTAAAAATATACTCATTGCAACCCACATAGAGTTAGTTGGAGTGTGAGCCAAAAGAGGGTAGAATCTGAGTATATATCAAGGCTTCCACCTACAATAGTCCATTTTACAGCTGTGTGCTTGGTTGCCAAGCCTTTGAATGGGAGTGAGGCTAGAGATGACCTTGTTATGATACAAACCTTGCTGCCTTTCAAATGTAAATCACTTTGTTATCATGCTAACTAGATACAGGTCTCTATCACAACAAGGTCATCTTTAGCCTCACTCTGAATCAAAGGCTTGGCAACTAAGTACACAACTGTAAAATGGCCTATTCCACAATAATAAAGTATTCTTTTATTGCAGTTTAATCCCCTTGACTCCCAAGGTCTTGTGGGTAATTCTCTTTACTGTCTGCCATACAATTCTTATGATATCAGTTTGGAGAATTTATTTATTCCTGCTATTCACACATTGGAAGAAAAAAAAAATACACGAGAACAGCCAAAGCCGTGGGCTTAAATTGCCTAAGGTCAGCAAAAGACATGAAGAATTTACAAGAGTACAAGAAAGCTTTAACTAAAATAATTACAAATAAACCAAGAAAGAAAAGGTCAGTCAGAAAAAAAACTTACAATTGAGATACAATACTTGGCAACTAGTTTGAATATTTAAACGACTAAAAATAAATTCCTATAAACCCCACAAACAAATTAATACACCTAATATAGTCCCATAAGATATGCTTTTGCCCCCTATTGAGTTTGCCCTTAACTTATACTGTGTTTGGTAATTGATTGAGTAGTAACCCCTAATTGACATTTTCCCTTGTTCTCGTCCCTTTGCTGCTTGAATTTGTATCGAGAAGGCAAAGACAAATTCTGTCTTGATCACTCACGGGAGTTTATTGGGGTTAACTATGGCTTGATCCTTCTTTTCTGCCCTCATTATCGTGTAACAAGATTTTGTTAACACAACATTTCAAAATCCTCAGCTTTGTCTCCAATCAATTTTCCTGATAAGTCTACCAGTAAACCTTTACATTGTGTTATATTGGACCATGCAATTCCTTAAACCTGCACACAAATTTAATAATCAGTATAAATTCTGTTACAAGGAGAGGTAAACCTTAGCCATCTCCATTTCTTAATGCCCAGTACTAAAGACATCCATGGGAAAAATTAAAGTTTGTTTCAAATAATTTTAAAAGAGCTGAACAATCAGATAATCAGTTTTAAGTCAATTATCCACAATCTCAGTCAGTCACCTGTAAATTTTACCATGAAACCAACTGTGGAACAAAACTCTCTCCTTTCTATTCCCTTTTCTAAGAACACCATGTTTGACACCCTACTCATCACAATGACACACAAGTGGAAGTACTGCCCCCCCCTCCCTAGCAGTGGTAAAAGCATATAAGGGACATACCCTGATGAGTTCCTCAACAATAGGTTCTGTTCCAATAGCAAGTGCAATATCTAAAGCTGTTTGACCATCATTGTTTCTGATACTTCTGTCTGCCCCAGCCACAATGAGTGATCTGATAGCCAGAGTGCAATACTCAACTTTGTGTTTTTCACCACGAGCTAAGATATGCAGAACAGTCTCTCCTTCGTTGTTGACAGCATTCAAAATAATGTCTGAGTAATCACCCATTTTTTTGCCTTTGTTTATTATCACCTCAACACAGGACAGAAAGAAGTTGGGCTTGTGATCTCCATTAACAAGCATGCTCGCTGCAGTATGGAAAGGCGTGTTTTCACGTGTCTCATCTTTTATCAGCAGTGCTTCTTTTAAAAGGCCAACCATTTTAGAAAATTTAGGGTTCAGTTCTTTAACAGTAAATTTGGGTCTTGATTTGTACAGCAACTGGATGGCTCTATGCAAGGCAGTTTCACCATTTCCTGAGGATTTTGCCACAGGGGAGAATCCACTTGCAAGCATCCACTCTAAAGCATTACACTTCCCCAAGGATGCTGCCCAGTGAATGAGTGGACACCTGTTCTCCATGACAGCATCTGGTACATCATCATCTTTGCCCCAGCCACCTTTGGTATATTTCTCCACACACTCTTTTAAGTTGTCAAGATTTGATAAGGAACCCAGCATATCAGTACAATTTACAATAGCCACTAACAGTTCGTGATGGTCTGGGCAGTCCTTGTTCTTGTCACAAAAAGGAGTACATTTCCTTAACGTGGGTTCTTGGTTTAGTTTCGGAAAATCTGGATATGTTGCTGCCATAGAAGCCATCATTTGCAACACAAAACTGCAGCACCTCTTGAAAGCTCCTTAAACTGTGAGAGCCAAAATCTGAATAAGAAATATAATGCCATTTGCAGTCAGTCAACTCATTAATTAATTTTATTGTAGTTGTGAATGAATGACTTTAGTTCGGGACATATCTCACAGAGGTCAGATCACTTCCTGCGAAAAATATGAGAACAGGAATAGCCATGTTTCAGAGAATAGTCATGACAATTAAGTTGCTTATGGAAATGTGATTCTCACATGCAATCAAATAGGAATATTTGGTGTAGTCAAATGTCCCCACTTCTGACTAGCAGATACAATTTGCTTTTAAAAAAAGGTCCTATTTTAAGTCTGGTTCAATCATTACCATTTTAATAATTATCATTGTTAATGAAATCATAATAACTAAATCAAATGTATTAGTATGCATATTCTCCATACTGTCCACCATCATTTCCTACTATACTGACAAGGAGAATTTCTTTAACAATCAAGAGCTGTTTGGTTGGTGACCAATTCCTTTATTCTCCTGACCTAATTAAGAAGTGATTTTGTAAGGAGAAATTCAAGGCTAATCACTCTTAGGGGTTGGAAAGTTAAGTAAGAATTTTATAAAAAAAAATTTATAAGGGGAGGTGGGGGCAATATTGAGTGCTGATTCACTTCCTAGCAAAGGTGAGTAGATTCCAACATAAACTAATTTCAATAACAGCCTCCAGTGACCTTTAAAATGCTTTCATGACCTGTCATAAATCAAATTAATCATTACAGTAATAAGCTCTTTGGCTTAAAATAGCACTTCAAATTTGTCTAGATCTGTTATCTTTGCTTAGTTGACGCGACAGCAAAGCGATAAAGTTTATCGCGTCTGCTCTCAGTTCAAGAAATTTAATGTAAACAAACCGTCATTCACGTCACGGAAATTAATAGATTTGATTGTTTCTCTGTGGTCTAGAAAAAAATACAGTTTGTAACAGCATACACTGCTTTGAAAAAGTAAACAGCTACGTATAAAATGGAAAAGTATTTCGCGACACTAAACAAACAATAAACAAAGAAACGCACAGCTTGACGTCAGCTGCCAAATATAAACAATATCGCTCTTGGCTATCCCCGCGGACTGAAGCCTATTTCACCTGATTTTGAAAACAATCTTCGCACTGATTTACAAAATTCGTTTTTTCTTGCTGGTAAGAAAAGAGACTATCGAAGATTTCTACTGCGTTAGCGTTTCAGAAGCTGTGTTTCCGTGGGCTGGAAAGACTGGAGGAAGGATGTGACAGTGTGGAATAGTCGATCACATCGACAACCTTCGTCCTCGTTGCCTTTAACGAAATCGCCGAGAGGTCTTTCGTTCATCGAGAAATAAATTGGAAATAGTATTTCTTGACATACAATTCTTTTTAAACCGAGAAATACGTAAATAATATTATTTCTCAATGATATGGGCCAGGGCAACGAAGTCGACATGCGACGGAGCCATATCTCTTTGATGTTAGCGCCAAAGCCCCGCATGAATACCGCGCTGATTTCTCTACCGCGAGTTGAAACAGCCACACGCGCTGGTCGTCATTCATTAGCCTCGCAGATTCCGAGTGAAGAGTATCCATTTATGACACAGTTGTCCAAAACTCACTGAACGAAACATAGCGTTAAGGATTTCTTTCCTGCCGAATGCGTAAAGCAATTTCTCGCGGAAGCAGCCGTCCGCGCCTGTAGAGACTTGCCATGATCTTGAAGATAGCGACTGCTTAGCTTTTCAAAGCCGGCTCTGTTCGGTCATTCTGAATACTGAGGGTACGTCTTCAACTTCAGCATAGACGAATACGAGAGGAAACCGAGGTAAAAGCACACGAAATCGTATCTCCAACTATGAATTGGCTAACACACTAGACGCACGCCGCCGACAAACAGAGACGCAAACATCGGTTGTAAAGCACTCTTTTCGCCGGTTCACCGAATCCAGGCTGCTTCCTAGAGAAAAATTCCTTAATAAACTTGTACTAACCCGAAATAAAGGACTTTTGTAGAAGCAGTTGGCTGTCTACGTGTGGCCACCTTCGCTTGAACACTTGAAGCTGACGAAAATGATTATGCTACTGCTGCCACCGTCATCCCTGAAGGGCGGTAGCCACGGCTGTCAATCAAACTCACCACCGCGGAAGGGTATCAAACACCAGGTATTATCTTCCTTCGACCTCATAGGCTGCCGCCAGAGTTTTGCATTTCAAATGTCCTCTAGTTTGGCACCATAAACAAAAGACCATTGTAAGGCACCTCAACATCTGCAGAGTGCTTGTCAGTTTTCAGGCGGTTCAACCAATCCGTTGCCTGTTTGCGAGTCGCCAGTGCTGGTTAAAATCACATTACCTGTTGTGGACAAACGGAAACAGACCGCTCCTCAGTATTGTGATATTGGCTGGCGGGTTGTATTCGTCAGCCGCATTCAACAGACTGAAGGAAGAATCGAAACAGCCTTTACATGTTTTGTATACTTCCTTTCTATGTCGCAGCCTTCAGGAGATGCCGCCGAGAGTTGAAAGCTAAGATTTCCATCGATGAATATTTTAAGACTATGAAAGATGTTGACTCAGTTCAGTTCACCGGATCATGTGTCGAGCCAAGGTGTTACATCGCATAAACACCGAGCGCACAGCTTTGCTAGCTTTTATTTAAAAACAATGTGTTTTATGTTTTCTCTTTCAAAACCAGTGCAACGGGAACATACACACATACACACGCAAAAAAAAAAATTACAGGTGATGTAATGAAATACAAGTCGGAAGCTTCAAGGAAAGGGAAACACGCTAAATCAACGTTTGATCTGCGGAAGAGCTGATAGTTTCAGAAACGAGAAAAGGACATAATCATGAAATAAGTTGTTTTGTACCGTAACATTTCAAAAGACAACACATACAACAAAGACGTTTTTCCTGTGCGACTGCCAACCTTATTTACGTGCCGTGTTCCAAGAACTTCTTCCTCTTAGGAAGTTTCGTACCTAGATGAATAAAAACTGCTTAAAAAAACTCAAAGTTTGATGCAGTGATTCTCGGTCAAAGATGAGCGGGTGCTATGCAATTTACGGTCTCTTCGTCCCGGACTTCAGTTTCTGACATCTACGTATCCTCGAGAGAAAGAGTTGGTCCTTAAACCGAGATCTTGGCTGTCACCACCGTGATCTTGCAATTCAGATCGCATTAACGTGCCCAAAATTTCCCATATGATCACCTCATCGCAGCGAGCGGAAGCCAGTTTGGAGTATCGAACTTTGATCCATCGTGGTAGCCGAGCTTAGATTTCTTCATGATATCGAGAGTAACTGGGTTCAAAACTCAACTCGCCAACTGAGTTGAACTTTCCTACATGATCAAAATTCGTACCCCTAACCGATTCTTGGGCTCATGCGAGGAATTCCTCGAACCATTTCAAATATTTCATTTAAAATATAGGGTATATATAGGATATATATAGCTTGTTTTTTTCTTTGGCAAATTGAGGGCTTCTGCCATGTGTATTGTCGGTCTTCAACGGAATAAATACCCCCACCCCCCTTACCAACATGTCTCGCTAACGTGTAGTATGGAAACTTTGAGGTTTTTAATTTTTGCGGATTGTTCGCGACCTAATAAGTTCCCGCAGACGAATCGAAGTTAGTTTTTGTTGGAATACATCAGAGGTCAAGCTGTCAGCGAAGGCCGGTTAGATTACATAATCTGATTCCACTGTCCCACATGGCATTACATACCACAACAACTTTAGTCCGCTGTGCGATGAATCTCAACATTCGTAGTCAAAGAAACCAACGCTAGAAAAAGTCGAAATAATGAGCTTTGTCGTTCGTTGTTTAGCTCTTCCTCTGAATAACGATTAAAGCGAAATGGAACGACTCTTTGGCAGAAAGTAAAAGGAAACCAATTGAGATATCAGTTCGCTAAGCGGAGAAAGATGTGGCAATAACAAGGTCAGAGGCAGGGCAAATACAGGAGTTTTTGACGGGATGGGGAGGGGGCCGGGAAGGTTACAAGCTCTGATTCAGAAAACAACGATAGAAAATAACAGAAGCTATCAAATATTGCGAGACAAGTAACTATGAAAAGAAATCCTATGGTAGAGTAACATTCGATAAAAAAAAAAAAAAATCCTCTTGTCTTAGGGGYGGGTTCTGGATCCCCGCAGTTTCCCTCCTAGATCTGTCACCGAGAAGGAAAAAGGGTAATTGAGTTTAGCAGTAGCCTAAATGATAAGTATGCCGACTCTGGGTTGAGAGGTGTAGGGTCGCGGTGGAGATACCCTGCTGGCAGAGGCGTTTATTTGTTAACTTCCCCTATGGTTCACGTAAAAATAAAGTCCTCTGCGCTCGGCCTGTTAAATCTTCTTCAAGCATGCACGGCCTGTTGCTTAGAAACAAATTAGATAAAACAAATTAGATAAAACAAATTAAATAGGATACGTGCGCATAAAAACGTGTTTAACACAGGTTCTGACCGGTTTTGCAAATCAGATTATCCACAAACTTGGATAATTCCCAGGCGCAATTTAACAGGCCGAGCGCAGAGGACTTTATTTTTACGTGGACCGTAGGAGAAGTTAACAAATAAACGCCTCTGCCAGCAGGGTACGGTGGAGACCCGGCCGGGTTACTGTGTTTTTGGGCAAAACACACTTTATTTTCACGGTGTCTTCCTCCACCCACAGCTGCAGGAACGAGTACCAGCAAATGCTAGGGGTAACCTTGCTATGGACTGGCATCCCACCCAGGGGGAAAGGGAGAGTGGTAATACATCTAGTCGCTTCACGCCATGGAAACCGGTGTAACCTCCGATTGGATGGGCCTCTTGGCTCAAGTACTGATTCTATCTTTTTTTTTTTCTTTTTTACCTCTTCATGATACACTGAGTTTAATGAATTATGGTGGCTGATCATATAATGTTATTCTATATTTCCCACATACAAGAACACGTTTTTGGAGATTTTCATCCTTGATAGTTCTATTTACATTTGACAATAGGTTACAACAGTTGCTCACACCTACATCGCCAATAAATCTGTTGAAACTTCACAAGCGAGAAGATTATTTTTAATGAAAATCCTCGGAAAAGACAAAACCGTCTTGCAAGCTGTCCTAAGCGGAAGAACAATCAAATTTTACCAACAAATAAACTAGTGTACTGCTCGTTCAAGTCTTTTTATACATATATATTTACAACACAAACGAAATCCTAGTGTTCAATTTGAACAAGAGCTGGAAAGGTACGCATGCGCAGTCGTTCAACCTCTGCCCGCAGCACTGCAACCTCCTGCGCCTGCGCTTTGGCGAGGTCAACTAACTTTCGCCTTGCTACTATATCCTGCAGACGCCGCTCGCTTCCAGTGTCACTCCGGCCAGCAGCTGTTCGAGAAAAAAATTTTCAAAAAATAGTAAGAAACTGTCTACAATACTTACCTACTTAAATACGTAAATGAATAAATATAAATGTATAAGGTCAAGACACAAAACGAATAAAACGAAGTACACAAACCGATATATATAACCAATCATCTCTTAGAGAGCTGTAAAGTCGAGGTAAACCACAAAAAGAACCACCAAACCATCTCGTTTAGAGTGAAATGATTACATCTTTTTCGATGGTTTGAGATGTAACATGTACGAGTATTTTGCAAACGTACGAGCAAAGACCAAAATGTACCCTCGTATTACATGGTGAGCCATCGAATAAGAGATTTATTATTCCACTATTATTTCTTATTCTAGTATTTTGGCTTCTAGCTTTCGAATCACATCTTACGGCCTTATCTGAGCATTGCATTGCTTGCATAATGCGTGGGCGCGAAACGTTTTTGAACCCATTCAAGCGTTCCATCAAAAAAACTCTTTTTCGCTTAAAAGTTAGCTAGCTCCTTAAAAAGTCAAACTTGAGAAAAACAGGAAAAAAAATCAAAGTTTGCATCATTCAGTGCTGTCAGTTTGCTGCCTCGCTGTCCGTCTGTATTTTTGCTCTGTTCTAGCTTGTAATATACCGTTCCATTGCCCTAGTATGATCAAATGGCAAGAGGCAGAAAATGGCGTAGCGAGAAAGTACAACATATTTCACTGACCGTTTGCCTCATTGACATTCCTCCTCTCAGCTACTGACAAAGCAAGTTCCTCCAGATCGGCGTCAAGCTGTTCATTGTCTTTTTCCTTGCGACGAATCAATCTTTTGATATTCTTTATAGTTTCTTTGCGGTCATTTACGTTTCGATGATGCATCTGAAGGATAGATAGGAAGAATGAAACAAGTTAAGGATCAGTTTGAACGTTGAAAAGCTTCAATTTATTACTACAGTCTAAAGTAGGTAACGCAGTTTGGACTAAGCGGCATCAACCAGTAAGGTGTGTTAAGATGCAAGTTCACTGTTTTCTGTTTGCGTTTTTTTCTTGTTTTTGTTTTGTTTGTTTATATTTTCGATCAATGTCCATTTCTGAGCAACTGCGCCCCTACCCCTCCCCTAAGCTAACAACAGGGTGAATGTTGGTTGAGGAGGGTAGGTGGGCAGTTGTTCAGATACTGACATTGATCCTTTTCTGTTTGTGTTTTTGTCTTGTTTTAGTGGATCAATGTCGGTATCTAAACTGCGCATCTACCCCTCCCCTAACCCAACAACAGGGCGAGTATTAGCTCAGGGGAGGGGTAGGTGCATACTTACTTAGTTATTAAAAAGGATCCTTTGTTTATAATTCAAATTAAGCACGAGAAAATAGATTACATTTCCTATGAACAACACACAATCTATTTTTTGCCCTGAATTTCCTTAAAAATTTACCTCAGCCAATAGAAATAGAGAATTTTCAATTCCCCTTTCCTTAACAGGTTTTAAAATTGGCTAACTCAGTCCTGCACAGTTATTTTACAACGTTAATAAAAACAGGCAAACAACAGAATGGATAAACGTATTTGTGCACGATCCTCGCAGTAAAGAGCACTATTTAAGGAATTGTGAAAATTAGAAATGAAAAAAATTCAGGCCTGTACGGGATTCGAACCACTGACCTCTGCGATACTAGTGCAGCGCTCAACCAATTGAGCTCACAAGCCAACTGGGAGCAGGTCATCAAATAAGTCCGACATAAACCCGGAATGGATAAAATTAAAACCCCCCTTTACGACAAACACTAAGGAAACATTTAGCTGACAGTACACCTCATTTTCTACTTAACCTAAATTTGATATAAAAAAATTGATAATGATCTCCTACACAGAACGATCGTTGCCTTTAACCGTTCACAAAAAAATGTTTCTTAGTTTCTCTAAAAATTTCTCCGTGTTCGCTCATTCCCATAAGGTTTGATGTTATCCATTCATTGATTCCGTTGTGTTTTTTTAGTGAATAATTCACAGACCTTTTCTTGAAGTGTCAGAGTTTTCTCTAACGTCTCGATCTCCTGCTGTTGCCTGGCTTGTTGGTCACCCTCCGATAGAAACTGCTGCAGTTCCTTGGTGACTCTCAGCAGTTGAATGTCACGAATCTTGGCCTGGAGATCCTCCGACTGCATGTCCATCTTTTTGTGCTCCCTGCAAACAACAGCAACTCTCGTTATGGTAATGTCTTTGTCAAGAGGTGTAACTTATTACATATATCTTATTAACCAAGCGCGAGGGCCATACTGGGAGAATATCGGCCCGAGGTCTTGACAGTACGGACCGAGGGCCGATATTCTTCTAGTACGGTCCCGAGCAAGCTTAGTTAATAAGAGATTTATTATACGACTGAAGTTCGAAGGGACACAAGTGCGGTATCATTCGGGACCATTCAATAGAGCAATAGAGCATTTTGATTGGTTGATTTTAGTTATTGGCCCTCTGACTGCCCGAGTCGTGTATTACAGAAAATAAACGCTCGTGTTGATTAAGGTATTCCAAGTTAAAGCGACTTAAACTGACTAACAAATTTAGGGGGAAAGAAAGAAAAACCCGAGTTACTAAAGTTTTGCATCTGATTGGTTTTGAATATGGTGCAAGGATTCTAAAACAATCGAAGGATGAAGTACAACAAAACTAATTTAATTCTGGACTTTTTTTGGGTACATTTAAAACGAGTTGAGATTAGGCACGTCGAGGGTTTTAAAAGTTGACGTTTGGTGTGTTAGCCCGATTCTCTCTGACGAAGGGCTTGCGCTTGAAACGTCAGCTATACAAACTCTTTACTTTATCAACTCAGTTGATAAACCAAATCAGCTAGTTACTCCCACACCGACGCAGCACCACAACTTCTTAAAAAAATGTCCCCTGTTTAACTAAAAAATTATTCTTAAATAGCAGATTTACCATTCCAGTCGATGAATTCCTTTCCTAAACTCCTTACTGTCTTCCATGATAATGATCTTTCCCTTCCCGAGGGTCTAGAAACAGTCGTAAAGACAAAGGTACGGTATCAGAAAAGTAAATAATGAGCTTTCTCCGTGAGGAGATAAAGAGCAAGCCACTTCCTTGCAAAAGTTTTCCAATCAGCTGCAAAGGTTAATAGGATTGTTTAGTTTCAGTAAAAACAGCAACAGCATCAACGAAGATAGGGAGGCTTTTAGATTGACTGAAAAAATAAGTGATCGCAAAAGTCAATCAAAACAAAGGAAAATATCCCACCAGCCAATCAGAACAAAAGAAAAGAAAATTTGACAAAAGCCAATCAGAACAAAGGAAAATGTGACAACAGCCAATCAGAACAAAGGAAAATATCCCAACAGCCAATCAGAACAAAAGAAAAGAAAATTTGACAACAGCCAATCAGAACAAAGGAAAATGTGACAACAGCCAATCAGAAAGGAAAATATCCCAATAGCCAATCAGATCAAATAAAAAATATCACAACAGCCAATCAGAACAAAGGAAAATATCGCAACAGCAAATTAGAACAAAGGAGAATATCACAACAGCCGTTCAGAACAAAGGAGAATATCACAAAAGCCAATCAGAACAAAGAAAATATGACAAAGTGCCAGTGAAAATCCGTGATAAAGACGAGCAAACTGTCACAAGGAAAAACTTGTCCTTCATTTCTATTAATACTGCTAAGGAATACTTCTCAAGAAAAGCTTCCTAGTGCAAATGTGGCTTGTACAGAAAACCATACTCACCGCGATCTGGGAATTAAGGTCTTCTACAACAGAGCGGTGAATCAGAGCACTGTCTGCATAGTCTGTGATAAAGGAACCAGGAGTCACCTCCACCTAAAATACAACACAGCGATTGTGAGCTAATCGTTAGTCGTAGACTGGTTTTTTGACTTCGTAAAATACTCACCTGTCCCTGTTTTAATAACAGCTGCACTTCTAGATTAGTGTGAAACTTCATTTTCTCATCCCTCAATCTAGAAAAACAAAAGGTCAATAAGAAAGATGGAAAACTGATTTTCCATGAGAAATCGAACCTCGCAACTTCAGATTGTGCGCTCCGATGATCTATCATTGAGAGGACTCTACGGTAAGCTACAATGAGAGGCAAAAAAAAAAAGTTGGCACGCCATCCCCTTACTAGTTGGTCGATAACCCTCCACTCAACATAATCAACAGAAATCTTGCAATTCATCTCTTGTAAAAATACTTACAAGTCCTCCCTTTCCGCCCAAAACAATGTTGCCTGGAATGAGTGAGCATTTCGTGAGCACCAAGCAATTGGGGGGAGAGAGGGTGGGGGGGGAGGAGGTACATAAAAGTTATAGGAAAAATATAAAAAGTGATGAAGCGTGCAGGACTTTAACCACTCATTTTAAGGCATTACTTGGTTCATAAGTGACTTGCGTCTTATACAATGCTAGGGTCAACAATGTCAAAAGGGTCATGCCCGTGAAGGGGGATAAGAGAGGGAAGTGTTATAATCACCTCTGTAGTTCCTTTAAAGTGTGCTCTAGCTCCCTGTTGACTTTTTCATCCTCTTCTGTTCTTCTTTGCAAGAAGGCATTCATTTCTGCTAATACCAATGCTTTGGCCTTAACCTGTCAATAGAATAATGTGTGGTCAAACTTTAAACCCTTGGAGTAGCTAGCCAGTAATTTATCCCTATAGTAATATTGTCGAATCACTGTTTGTATATTGAAAAGCTGTAACCGAGGTCTTAAAAATGCGAGTCCACAGATCGCAGTATTTGACTACATGGAGTAGACATAAGCCATTTGCCTCTCGAAAAGTCACAAAAAAAACTCATAAATATGTCATCGTGACGTGGTCAGAGATAAGAAAATCCCTTGTATGTTGCCAACCAATCGAATTGCTGTATTCGATGCTGCGCCCTCTCGGGAATAAATATAATTAATTTTTACTTGCTGTTCACTTTCGACTTTCTGTCTTCTAGCTTGCACCAGTCGTTGCCAGACAGCGGATTCCACCCCTTCAGGCATGTGCTGTTCATCATCTAGCTCATCCATTGCACGCTCCAAGCTTCTCATGGCGACAGAATTGCTACGCGAGGAAGATGGCCTCGGACCGAATGGACTACCGCCGTCAAAAGTGTCTCCGTGTGATTCTGCGGCAGCTTTAAGTTGTTTCTGTCCTCTAAGAAGAGGAAAATCGAGAGAAAACTTTAAATAAGAATCTCGGAAGAGAGAAACATATGCCATACGAATGGGGTTTCAGCGAGTCCTCGTCAGTGTCTAGATCAGGAGAACAGGCCACCTTGTTGCCTACTGTTGAACAGGGGCACGCTAATTCAAGCGCCACTATGCACAAAACACATTACCAAGACAGTCCTAAGGAATTCCCTTAACAATGAATACTCAGTCGACAGTTGAAATAATATATATTGCAACAGTTTTCCTAACCTTGGTCTTCGTTTGAACAGTTTATACAACTGTTCTACTGTATGCACGTCTTGGTCTGCAAACTCTTTCTTGAAGGCCTTGTCTAGCGTCTTGTCTTCAGCCAACACGAGTTCATACGAGTCACGGAACTGGTCCACCTCCCGCTTAGCTTCAGCGAGCGCTCCTGCAGTCTGCGTCTTCCTCTCCCTCTTCTCATTCATCCGCCGGGTCAGCTCGTTCTCCTGATACTCCAGTTCGGATTCAGTCAGCACTGAGACCATCAGTCGCAAGATTTTAAGCTCCTCCTACGGATACACAACCCCCGAAATAGACGTTGAGATATAGATTATCCAAAAGGTATTCGAACAAAGCCGAAAACGTACCATATGATAAAATAGGAAAAGCAATTAAAAGAAAAATAAACGGAGGAATGATTAAAACTTGCGCTGTCAAAGCAATGCCGTTTTGTTGAAAACACGAATTCTCTTGTTATAATTTTAAATGAAATAAATTTCATTTGAGCGGCGGATGAAAATCAAGTAGAGCAGAGATTCTCACAGTGAACTTCAATTTAAGCAGTTTCAAAAAAGAAGCCTAAGAAAAATTCAGGCTTCGACGGGATTCGAACTCGTTCCTCTCAGATACTTGTTGGGTACTACTACTTACTAAGCCACGAAGACATACATTGGGAGCGGGGCTTATTTGAGATGATTCTTCTTTCCCCGCAGAGGAATCTGAATTCTCTTGATAATAGAGCGGACTGGCCGGCTAGTTCTGACTAATTATGGGTGCCTCACGTCACCATAATAGAAAACCCTATCGAAAAGCGGAGATAAAGAACGATTTATTAAGACAAGCTAACCTGGTAAATAACCATTTCTGTTTTGACTTTCCTCTGAAACAGCTGGCTGAGTTTCTCGTCAAACGAGGCAGTCGCATCAGTGATTCCGCTCTGTAACTTCTTTAGCTCAGTCTCCAGTGATTTCCGGTATTTCTCTCGATCCTCTTGGAGCTGCTGTTTCTTCTTCTCGAATTCCTTAGCCGCCTTTTGCTCCTCCTCACTCCATTCATCTTGTGGCTTGTTGGCGATGAACTCTGGTGGGACCAGATCTTTTTTCAGCTCGTCTTCTATATTCGCCTCCAGTCTTCCCTGCATCATCATCATCAAGGCTCGCTCTCGTGCATTGTCGCCTTTCTCCGCTAAGCGGCGCTCTACAAAGGATGAGAAAAAAAAATCAAAATCGAGTTGTACTTTTGAGCGTAGAATGTAACGCAGGCTTGTCCTGGCTTTGCTCCACATCGCTTTGTGATTGATCAAGAAATTCGCGCCACTCCTAACCAATCAAATGCAAACATGAAATCATTTTTCTCTTTGAGATCGATGGGCTGCTACATATACCTCCGTGTGCTCATAAACCGTTGTGATTGGTTTTGTTTCAGTCTAGCAAGATGCACCCCAGAACAGCTCTCCACTTGACATTTGAGATTATTTCTGCTGAGCTCTAAAACGTCCGTAACAGTCACAATGTCCGCGATTCATTCCTTTTATTTTCCTCTGCGAATGAAGGCAGCGATCATCGAGCGCATTTCGATCGGAAGTCAAAAAGGCAAATCCGAATTGATCACAACAACCAATCAAAGCAAAGGAAGATAGAACAAGGAACCAATAAAAACTGAGAGCAAAACAAGTAAACAGCCTAAAGAGCGGGAAAACGCGGGTGACCAAATCGTGATTGGCTTAAGTTTTGAATCTGGTTGGTTGAGAAATGGGAACGAATTGATCACAACAACCAATCAAAGCAAAGGAAGACAGAACAAGGAACCAATAAAAACTGAGAGCAAAACAAGTAAACAGCCTAAAGAGAGGGAAAACGCGGGTGACCAAATCGTGATTGGTTTAAGTTTTGAGTCTGATTGGTTGAGAAATGAGCACGAATTGATCACAACAACCAATCAAAGCAAAGGAAGATAGAACAAGGAACCAATAAAAACTAAGAGCAAAACAAGGACACAGCCTAAACAGCGGGAAAACGCGGGTGAACAAATCGTGATTGGTTTAAGTTTTGAATCTGATTGGTTGAGAAATGGGCACGAATTTTCTAGACCAATGACAAAGCGAAGTAAAGCTAAACCAAAGTAACGCCAGATTACTTTCGACACTAAGGTTAAAACAAAACGTTGTCCAGTTTCAAAAAATTAATCATTGCACTTCGTGCTCCAATTGATTTTCCCCTCTCCTTTTCCTTATTGGTCTCACATTTTCTCTACTTGTTGCTTCAATACAAACCTTCTTCAATCTTTGCTTGTTCTTCAAGCCTAACCTTCTCTTCGTCACTAATGTACTTCTCAAAGGGCACTTCACTATTCTTCACTTCCAACAGCAATTCCGGTTTTTCGTCCACACTCATTTCCGGCTCAAAGACCGTCTCATGAATCTCAAGATCCCCCAAGATCTTCTTTATCCTGTCATTTCTTTCTTTGACTCGTTTTATTTCGGCCTCTTTCTGTTTGAAGATTTCGTCGAATTCCTTGTTAAATGCCACTTTGATTCTGTGGATTGCATCCTGGTTTGGAATCATAGAGAAAAGTTACTCTACTTCAGAGGTGCGTGCTCTAAAAACTTTATAAAGATCATTTATGGTTTCTCTGAATTTGCATCTCTTGTATCATTCAATTTGGTTGAAGAAGGGAAACAAGGCAAAGAGGTTTAATCTTGCAATACAAACGCCGTACTTCCTATAATGACGGAAAGCGCGTTTGAAGGGTCTGGGTTCGAGACCTGGCCGGTTCATTGCGTTGTGTTCTAATGCAAAACCCTTTACTCTCACAATGCCTCTCTCCAACCAGGAGTTAAAATGGGTCCACGCGATTTGTCAGGGACACTTACTAAGGATTAACTTGCAATTGACAAGTATCACGTTCCGTCCTGTCCCGTCCCGTCCCGTCCCGTCCTTTCCCGTCCTGTGAGGGGTGGCCATACTGCTGGTCGCTATGGAATCCGGGATAAGCTGGAGCAGTAGTGGGCTAACTAAACTCGTAAGATTCAAATTCCCAAGTTTTTTTTTTTTTCAGATCTTAATTGATGTAAAGTGCCAAGAAGAAAACAAATGGTCGACTTAGTTGATACCTGTAATAAAACAATTTGGTTGAGTTTCTGCTGCACAGTATGTAGCTGGAACTGACTCTGAAACAACTCCTGGCCACCTCCATAAGCTGCACCACGACTTCCGGTTGTAGCCGGATTATCTCCAGACCTATCTCCTTGATCCTCGGCCAGAACATCCTCATCTTCAAACTCGTGTCCATCATCTGATTGGACAAAGGATTCGCAATTATTAGGCAAAAATCTACACGTTCTTAGCGACGTAACAACCATATTGAGATGTTGAGAGAACACGAGAGTAGTTTGTTAATCACCGTAGTTCAGCGACTCAAAGACGGGGTCGAGTGTTTTACCAACATCTCCATTGGGTTAATCGACCAGTATAAAACCGATGAAAAATGCAGCGCAACGCTATCGTAAGAAAAGCTGAGTTTATCAGCATAGTTAACGATAGGCTTCCCACCAATCAGATTGCAAGTGGCATCTCAATTTATTCATTAAGGGTGATAAAAACGAAATTATCGGACGCTCAAATGAGGGGTTGGAAAAATACGTGAGAACCTAAGACCATTCCATGGTTTGATCGATTCCGTTTTGTTTTTACTTAGTACAAGAAAGTAAGATTACCTAACAGAATCTTGGAACTATTGCAAATTCAGGCATTACATAGCTTGTCACACCTTGAATAACAACTTAATCAAAGGGGCTAAGTAAATATCGTTTGAGTCATTCAGCGTAAGAGGAACCACAAAATATTAATTTGCTAGGTTACAAAAAAAAAAAAAGGCAAAAATAGTAAGAACTGACCACTGAAGAACTAGCATGGTCAAGGATCAATAAGATTGACATGGATTTCAAATCATCTCTTAAAAAAAAATACAGGCTGAATTTTGCGAGAAGCGCAGACTCTATCAGCTTCTTTTCTTACCAACAAGTGGTGTATTTCTGGCTGATGTTGGACCAAACACCACATCTTTGCTGGCTGCGGACTCAGCTTGCTCGATCTTTCTCTGGTTGATAACATACTGAATCTCATCCAGTTCTGTTTTAGTTCGCTCCTTCATGGGGTAGTTGGAGACAGAGAGTGGAAGGTGGAAGGCGTTCACTGAACGTCCTTTGACGACCATGGCCTCCCAACATTCTTTTTTGATTATCTCGCGTAAGTACTGATTAGCAAGATTTGCCAATTCTATCTCCTCGCGGACCTGTCGGAGAATAACCCAGAAATAAACTAAGAACGCGAGTACCTGGAACCGACAGCACGACTAGGAGGGATTTTTAGCGGGTTTGCAATGGCTGTTGCTCTGTGATTGGTTAAAAAAAATTGGAGGCATCTTTATAGCCAATCATATGAAAATATTCAACCAATAATCACAAGGTCAACCATACTTTCTTACGCTTGAGAAAATTTTATTTATTTATTATTTTTAAAATGATTTTTCATTTAGGTATAACTACCCTTTATCAGACTAGACTGAACTTCCGGTTCAGTTTGTAATTGAAAAAAAATGATTGGTTAGGTAATATTTGTGAAGTTTCCACACGACCATATTTTCATTACGATTATGTAATCTTATGAAAATGATCTCGAGGCCTTTTTGAAAAGAAAAGATAATAAATAATCAAGTGACGACATAAATATATTCCTTGAGGAAGTTTCCTTGCAACCGGAACTACGCATAACAAAGTGAAAAGTACGTATGATGCACGATCCTCGCAGTAGAGAGCGCTATTCATGCAATAGCGAAAATCAGACCTGAAAAAAATCAGGCCTGTACAGACCTGATTTTTTTCAGGTCTGATTTTCGCTATTGCATAAATAGCGCTCTCTACTGCGAGGATCGTGCATCATACGTATTTAATACCGCAGTTCAAAATATATGAACTTGATACATTGTAAAGTGAAAAGTGATGGGATGTTAACAAAATTAAGTATGTAGCATCGCTGAGCGCTTTTGTTGCACAACTTTTCGCACCTGTTTAATTTTCTCTTCCCCTTCTAAAATCAGTTTCTGTCGCTGATCCACATCCAGGTTGTATTCGTATCTGTCCAGTCTTTCTATTTCCGGCGCTTGCTGGTTGTCATCCATCATCTGTAACACAGTCTGACGTAATTCTTGAATCTCCTGACGTAATTTCCGCTTTATCTCAGCGAATTTTTTAGCCTCTTCGCGTTGAGTCTGCAAAAGAATATAAAACTTTGATACAGCAAATATCCTTCAGAACAGAGATATCCCCTAGTTTGTTTTTAGTTCTGAGCACGATACAACAGCTGCAATGCATTTTCCAATGTTGGTTTACAGCGCAAGTCCAGGAAAGATTGTGCGGTGCTCTGCAATCAGTTCTCAATCTCCCCAGTCTCCCTCCCTTCTACTTTCCTCTCCTTCCCGCCTTCCCCCTCCCCTCTACTCCCCTTCCCTCCCATCCCTTTCCCTGAATTATCGCGGAAAAATAGACAAGGGCACTAAGTCCACAGCTTGCTCTTGGGTCTTGGTTTCATGCTCCTTAATGGACAAGAAGAACCACCCCGTGGAATGTCCATTGCTAAATTATTTAGTTATTTATTCATTTATTTAAAATCCCAACAAAAAATTCCTAACAGTACTAGATCTTTCACTTGATCGTCAAAACAGGTGAGAATTCGCAAATGATCTTTTCGCATACAGAGGATCGATTCTTGATCAGAAATTGATTGCCTAGAGGTCATTCAGTCACAGAAAACAGATAATTACCAAGAACATAAGCCCTTAATCAACAGTAACCAGGCAACAATGCTCACTTCCATGGTCATTCTTTCATTTCCATACCTCGCTAACAGCTTTCTCAAGCCAGGTTGCATCTTCTGAGGGGGTAGGGGTGGGGGTGGTGTAGATGTCATCTTTGATAACTTTCTGTTGCTTTTCGCTCGCCTCAGTGTTCGCTTTCTCGATCGGCGAGAGAGGCCTGGGCACGTATTCCCCTCGTTCAGCCGCTAGACTGTCTTCATTTTTTCGCACGGTGGTCAGCAGTGATGAGCGCGCACGCGCAGCATCTATGGCAGCAGTGGCCTTGTTTTTGCCTGAAGAAAAAAAAAATCAATAAACAAACAAAAAAAGATAATAATAATAAAAAAAACAGGGAAGTTTATTCCAAGATGGAAAGATACGCCTAGTTGTCATTAAACCTTTCATTTTGTATATGATACCAGATAATGTTGTCATGGCTAAAACCTGGTCTATCAACATGGCGTTTGTGTTCTTACCATAAGGTTAAAGTTTGAGTCGTTTATCTCACTATTTCGTTAATATCTCTTTAAATAATACTATCGGGAAATCATTTTTTCGCTTACTCCTAAGTGAACATAGAATTCATAGACACGTAAATGAATGGCAGAGTGGAAGACTTAAACCTTCGATCTGCAGACTACAAATCCAAAGTTATAAACCACCCGGCCACTTAGCCTCCTTAAAAGTGCTTCTCGTGCTATCAAATCATTTTTCAACAAATCTAATTCTGTCAATACACCGAAAAACGATCGGAAACTTAACTCTTGACGCGCAATTCGGTCTCTTAAGCTGCTAATGACCTCCACACAAGCAACGCGAAAAGCAGTAATCACCTGTGTGGTGTACACTAACAGGGCATATCGTCGTGTTACCTGTTGATGTGAAGTTCCAAACCCAACAGGCCAACACACCGTCAGTTCCTGTACTGAGCACGCGCTGTGAGTCACCAGTAAAACAGACGTGAGTCGCTCCGCCCCTTTTGTGATGATGTGCGGAAACACACAATGTACGATCCTGTAAACATAGAAAACATATTATATTGTAATGACTGAACAAAGAGATAAAATATATCTTAATCGTTAGTCACTGAAGCAGAAGTTAAACGAGAACACGAGCGCGCGTGCCGGTCATAATCACTCACGAGAACACGCGCGCGTGCCGATCATAATCACTCACAAGAACGCGCGCGTGCGTGCCGGTCGTGATCACTCACGCGCACCCTGCTACAACAAGCACCTTACAGAATCGTCAGCCTGTTTGCCATCCAAGGCACAGGGTCAAACGTTAAGAATGAATTTAAATATTTTTAAAGAATAACATATTCCGAGAACAATTTTTAATTCACTAAGTATCTTAATAAGGAATTCCTCCCTACAAAATAATCTCTTGAAGTAAATATTTTTCTGGGGTAAAAAGAAAAAACCTCTCGGCGGCAAGGAAAAGAGAAGAAGGAACAAATATAGTTATGGACGAAGACGATCATCTCGAACTGCAAAGGCAGATCCTTTTATATCAGGGACAAGATAAACAGACCTTCGAGGGAAAAGTAAGCTACAGACACCATACACCTTAAAAGAATACGAAAAAAACAACAAAAAAACATTTTCTTCTCACGTTTTGAGTTTTCAAAGAGTAACCTAACCGGTCGAAAAATTTGGACAGCTGAGGCGACATTTTGACTAAGGTCGCCGCCATTACACGCACACAAAAGAAAAAAAAGAAAAGAAAGAAAAGGAATACTCAATTCGCTGGCCGTAAGCCCATCAAATGGGTGTACAATTCACCAACAGCTACTGCTCTGTTTATCAAAAATAACCATTATCTTAGCTCAGAATGCCTTTTTTTGTAGCTCCTACTTTTTAAAGCAGAACGCCAATATATGACAAAAGAAGCCAGACTCCGTCACCTGGCAGGTGAAAAAGTTAAACGTACTTTCGACAGAGTAAGAAAACAACAGGAAAGAACCCATCAGAGTACATGCAATTGACAAACGAGTATCGTAGCTTTCAAATGGTAGGCAACCAGTCAGAAAAGCATTGAAACCCACGTGATCTCTGACGCCGGAGTAACCGAACAAATAGACGCGACAAGAACTACTCAATACCGGAATTTCGTTGAAAATATGACTGGGCCAAAACTAATCTATAAAATTTCAATTCTGTATAAAAAGTGCACAAAGTTCTCACCAATGCACCAACAGTTCTGAGGAGAAGTTTTCCATCAGGTGAACAGCTGGCGAGCCACCTTAAATGTGGAGACAAAGCAACGTGTCCTCCGTGCAGTTCATGGCCAGGGTATGACCCACAAGGCTGCAACTTCGAATCTGGTGGAACACTCTGAAAACAGTCAATCACTGATAGTCATTCCCATGAAATAAGGGTTGAACTAAAAGTGTTCTTTTTGTTGTACTTCTCACGGTGATTCCTTGAAATTGAGGCTTATCTTCTTGGTAATCATAATAATAATAATAATAATAATAATAATAATAATAGTATATAAACATATAAATATCAAATATTTGAAGTGCGGATTAATAAATAACGATGATAGTGATTATCACAGACAGTTATGAAGACTACTTAAGTAATAGAGAAAATGAAATCTGAAAAAAAACCTGCACAGGAGTTGAACCCGTGACCTAGATATGATACCGGTGCAGTGCTCTAACAACTGAGCTAACAAGCCAACTGGAAGCAGGTCATAATGTTGGTTCATAACAAAACAATGAGTAATTAATGAATGTGTAATAATAATAATAATAATAATAATAATAGTAATACAAAATGAGTGACTTAAATTCTAAGGAGGTCTAAAACTTTCCTGCCCTTTCGCATAACGACTACAGATGATAACGATGGTGATGATGATGATGATAATAATGATGATGAATAGAATAATAATAATAATAAAAATAATAGTAATACAAAATGAATAAGACTTAAATTCTAAGGTCTAAAACTTTTCGTGCCCTCTCGCATAACGACTACAGATGATAACGATGATGATGATGATGATGAAAGGGACTGAATTGCTTTCACTGTTACCTTGCCCTCTGCAGCCAATGTAAGTTTAACCATTTCTTTTCTTGCATGTGCCACTGTCAAAGCCGTCTGCGGACTCGTCAACACAACACTGTAACAAGGAGAAGCTAGCTGATGCACGACTTTCTTTACCATTTCATCTCTGTACAGTAGTGTCTTGTTCAAGAAGGCCTCCTTGGCTCCTGTGTGAGGAAGAAAACAGGTAACAGGTTTATTGGGATTACTGTGAAAAGATTATATGCGCTTAAAAAGAACATAAGAAATACGCGTTAAAGAACAAAGAAACTCGCGCGCGTCACTTTTCGCGTACATCGCTTCTCGAGTGCGTCACATCTCGCTCGCGTTTTCCGCGCACCCAGTCAAGTTAAGCGCCAGACATGCAGGCTATTCAAGCACATAGGCCGGAGAGGGGGGAGGGGGGNTGCTTGTATCTATAGTTTATTGATTATTATCATTTTGTTTATACAGCGTATTTTTTCTAAAATTTAATTGTCAAGTGTTTTTAACAAGAGCCACCGGCTCAGAAGATTGCACAACCACTTCCTACGTCATCGACTTTATATGAATTAATATTATATTTAACAATTATTCCACGAGCGCGCGTTGGATATGAGATGATAGATAGCCAACGAGGAGCGTAGTGCCAAGTTGGCTATAATCATCTCATATCCAACAAGCGCGAGTGGAATAATTGTTTTATTAAAAACGCCCTCAAGAAATTATTATTTTGTAAGAAGAAACTAGATTTTTTAGCTCCCTTTTGATTTTAAGCTGACGCGTACGCTTACTATATTTGTAGATTATGGTATATTGGCTGATATATCATAATGGCTAAGCCAATAAAAAGTCTTGAATTGCATTATCCAATGATCCAGTTTTTAATAATATAAAATATCATAACAATTACGCTGACTTGATTTATTACACTTATTTTCTTTGTCAAACTGTCTCCTCCACATTAATTTATGGGCCAGTCATTAGTCTTAATTTAATGTAATTTATTAGATTTGCTGACAGGCAGGGACACTGCAACAGCTTGCGCCAGTTACTGCAGGCCCAGTAAACCCACCCATCCCATCCCACCCCACCCCAGGGGAGGACATCCACCACAGTAATCTCGTGCGTGGGAAATTAACGTCTCGTACCCCTAACCCTGCAGGAGACGGGGCCTACGGTTTATTCGTCCTTACCCAAGAAGACTAGAATATCTATCCATTTCTTGATGAAAGAAAGGTAGCAATTTCTCCTCAGTTATTTTAAGACCCTGAGTGTTGGTCCTGCCGTGGCTTGAACCCTCAACCTCCCGCACAACAGTTCGGCACTCTACCAATTGAGCTAACCAGGAGGCGGTTTTTTATTAGTAGCGGGGTGGAGAATTACAGAGTTTCAGCAGTGTCACGATAAAATTTACCTGACCCCTCCTTCCCCTAAGCCTTTGCAATATTCTTATAATATTCCCCGCTCAAGGTAGTGAATTTTCTATTGTATTTTATACCCTTTTGGTGACGACTGATACCCCTGTTCCCCCTAAAAACTATGAGATCTCCCCAAAAAATCAGCAGCCCCCCCACCCCCCCAAAAAATATTTTTGCTTGAAAACTATTCAGAAGGAAAGACTAGCCTTGAGTTTCCTGTTCTCCTATTGTTCATAAACAAAGCACCTAAGCTAGTACCTAATCGCCCGAGCACTTGGAAGTTGCTGCTGACTCTTGCATCACATACAAAGACATGTCCATCATTGGAGCCTGTCACATATATCTGACCACTCCAATCATAACTGTATGGGGAGTCAGAGCAATAAAATACATCAGTTGTCAGGGAAAAAAAATGCTCAGATGAATCGAGCTACAGTTCAAAACACAGAATAAAGAAGTTATCTGGTGACTGTCCAGGGCAGTTGTATTTAGCTACACCAGAAAACAAAAGGCGAAGCAGTATTCACTAAAGGTGAACATCAAAAGATGTATAACAAGATTTTCAAGGGACTTACCTAAGTTGCAAAACTGGCCCATGGTGAATGTGGGTCCTGTAGATAAGACGAGGCTGCTCAATGTTTGTCATCTCAACAAAGTAGACATGGCCAGTATGAGACCCTATGGCCACGGTGCTGGAGGAAGGACTACACTGCATACATGAGGCCTGTAAAGAAAAGTGGGAGATGATGTCATCAGCACAAGATTACACAACATGAAAGATATGAATCAAGACAAGCAGACTCTGTTACCATTACCACATGTCTAAAACATTGTGCCCTTATGAAAAACAATATGCACTAAAAACATTTACCAGATGAGGGTAATTTTTACCCGAATTGACCAATCAGAGTGCTTTGTTTGTTTCAGTTTATCACCGGGTAAAGTTTATCCTAGTGGGGTAAACTTACCATTAGCAATTCGCTCGTTAAAGCCATTCTATGGGCTGTATCGACACAAAATAATTACATTCTTTCGATTGTGCCTCCTTAGAATCGAATTTCGCGATTTGGAGTTGAAAAAGGTGCAAAACCAATCAGCTTATATCTAGGATGGCGCGCTTTTGGATTTGTCGGGATTCGAAAATTGACACGGCTATGTTTGCAAAGTCATGTTTGTTTTACCTTTATGATAAAATATTGTTGACATGAAGGTGTTTTATTGACAGGTTTTAGGTGACAAGGGTCGCTTTCCATTCAACAAAAATCACGGGTTCAAAATGTCGGTATTTTCGCTGGCCGAATGGAACGCGTCCGACCGTATCTAAGAGGGTACTCTCAAAACGTATTCCTAAATTTTTGAAATTATTTCCAAATTATTTCATTACTCCCACCGACGCAGCCCCAAACAGTTTCTTTTGAAATTATCAGACTGTTAAACATGGGAAAGGTTATACAAAACACCTATTAAATGCATTGCAATCACACAAGTCAGGCTTATACATACAACTTGAGTTATACGACATGACACATAACACATGACACATGACACCTACACAATGGGCTAGAAGTGTTAAACTTTGGTTGCACTGGAAAAAAAATACCTGCCCATGAGTTGTACCTGTCTATTTTGCAGAAAGAAAGGCAAAGAGGACTAAGAATCATTGACTCATGTAGGGTAGAAAAAAAAAATTGTAAAGAAGAGGGGCAGTACCTTCCAAAACATTGGTGTTCTTTATAGATATACATGTACCTGGCAATCAAGATGGATTTTAGAAAAGAGTTTGCTTGTTTCAAGGTACCATGTTTGCACCAAACCATCTGCTTTACAAGTCTGTAAAATTGAAAAATAAGTTGGCAAAATTTTTTAATCTACATGAGCACTTAAGGCCTACCTAATGTACACTCTGAAGTTAAAACTGTAATTTTATGTACTCGCTACATGTTCAACATCAAGAAAGACACTCCACTTTTAATTAATAATAGGAATAAATATACAGTAGGTTGGGCCCAAATCCACAGCGTCATTTTAGCCTGAGCCCCCAGGCAACAATTACAGAATATGACTCTGAGAAGGACCCAAAATATATTTATGCTCAGAACATAAACTGCATTACAGACTATTATTATCACTTTGGAGGACATCAGGAAAATAAAAACTGAAAAAATGACAACAAAACAGTCTTAACAACCATGTGAAAATCTGCAAGTCTTTTTTCTTCTTTTTTCTTCAATGAAAATACACCATCCAGTGAAGCTGGCTATAAATTACAAAATCTTGCTATATGCCAGTCTTCAAAAATGAATGAAAGGAAACTCTGACTTATCTACACTTATTAGTTTTATTATTTGCTGCTTCCATTGTACAATTGTTTGATACATTTTAGCAAAAGACACCGCAGTGCCCAACAAAATAATATTTTATGATTTTATAAAGAATCTCAGACCCTCTGAAACTCATGGATGCAAACCCCACGTTACCCATTCAGTTACAATTATGACTTGATGGCAATTAAGTCAGGCCAATTCATACTAGAGTGAATATTTACATGACAAGCCATCTTATAACACAAAGCCTAATATGTAATTTCTATCTTAGAATTAAAACAAAATTTCTTTTATATCTTACCACACAGTACTGACTTCCTCCGACCAGACAGTCAACTCCCACAAACTCTGCATTATGAATATTAAACAGCTCTGCCACAGATCCTTCAGAATCATAGAGATGTATGGATCCCTGAAATAGTATTATAATTATTTCAGTTTTCTTTTTTTTTAATTCATGTATTCTTTTTTCACTTTACTCTGTTCTCTCCTGAATTTCTCTGTGGACACCCATTGGCACTCACCTTAGAACTTCCAAGAGCCAACGTACGATAATTCTGTGACCAGTGAAGACTTGTCACAGCACAGCCAATGTCCAACTGCTCCAAGACTTTAGGCTCAGTTGATTTTATGTCCAAACACCTCAATACTCCATTCTGTAAAAGATGGAGCTTATTCAAAAATTGAGCTCTAGAGTGGGGCAGTAAAGATTACCTAGACTGAGGGTATATGGGACTGAGTTTTCATGGGCATCTTGTGATTTATTCCTTAGTGTTTACTTCTAATGTTTTGGTGTTAAAACTTTTCATTGAGATGCACTCTCAAATGGTAATAACAAATTTGAAAAGTGAAATCATTTCTTGAGAGCTTTAGTTGTCTTAACTCTTTAATCCAGCCGATAGTTAATTCTCCCATCTAGCTGCCATATGTTTCCTTGTCATTCAGTTGTAAGAATTTGGCATTAGATCAAGAAAACAGCTTGTACCTAATAAGTTTGAGTATTCTCATTACCTGTTTCCTGGAAAATGGACAGATATTATAGGGAGAAGTTACACATTCATCACTTCTGGGAATTAAAGGGTTAATCAAATAAGGCATAACAATACTAAGAATTGTGAGCATCATCAAAAAAGGTTTTGAAGACTCCAACGAAAAGTTAAGATGTTCTTAGACTATTTCAATGTCATACAATGAAAATAAGAAGATAGAACCTGTAAAAAAAAAATTGAACAGACCTGCCCAGCGATATACAGTCCCTTCTTGTGTAGAGCCAGGCAATCTGCTGAACCTGGTCCAATGTCTATGGACAAATCAGTAGCCTTGGGCTGTTCTTCATTATCAGGAACTTCATCTAACAAGAACAAATGAGATTTGTTAACATGTTTAAAACATTAAGTAAAATAATCACAGCTCCTGGGGTCTGTAAACCAAAAACACAGAAGACTATCACTTTGAAGTAGTAGTACTGTGGCCCATTTTATTTTACTATACTTACAGTATTTCTTATTCTGTGACATTAGGCTGAATGTTGAAGTTAAAATGTTGTCATTTTTATCACTCATGTGCTTAAAAACATATCAGATGATATTGTAACTAAAGAGAAATTCCTTTAAGTTAACATTCTCTTGTGAAAGTAAAAGCACAAAGAGACCAGTTCGTGGCAAAACAGAGGGTATAAAAACATCAAAGAAAAGGGAAACACCTTACTTTTATCTTCTGCCATTTCTGCTATAACTTCCATAGTCGTCCTCTTCAATAAAGATAATGTGTCTGTTCTGTCCCGTTGCAAACCCTTAGTAATTGGGTTCAGTACAATAGTAACTTGGTTGTTTTCTGTGTCAAGGCATATCACCTGTCCGCCTTTACAACCACAGTAAAGTTTACTGTCTGGTGTCCAACAATGGTTTACAGGCTGACATCTTTCCTTTTTCTCACCTAAAATATAGAAATGCCACCCTTAATTAATTGATATTTTAAACCCAGTTGCATAAGAAAACATTACAATTTCACCCAGTTGTACCTTATAAATATTTTAAGTCAAAATGCTATGAAACCAGGTAAGTTTGCATTTTCCTTAATTCATTCCAGATCAATTATCACAATTATTTATTAATCATTTCTAACTTAATTTCATTGTAACCTACTGCATGACTATGGAATGAGGTACACTGTTATCTGAGAGAACTTAAAAAAAAAATTGTTCAAACTCAGAATTCAAAATATTTCAGTTAAGTCAGTTCTCAAAGAGAGAGATTCTTTTACTGGAGTACCTTGATAATCTCTCACAAATTTAAAGTAAATATCCAATAAAAGTAAACAATTATAAGTAGTTCTCTAATAAAACTCAAAGTCATTACCATTGAGATCGAAATTCAACTTCAAAATATTTTTCAGTTAATATATAGTCATAATGTACAGGCTAAGCTGCATATATCCTTAGAGAAGTATTTTACTCTTACCAGGCTCATAACCTTTTGCACTCTCTCCAACTAATCCAGCAATAGCTGCTTTAGTGATTCTGTATCTTTCTGGATGGCTCATACGACTCACAGAGGGCCCCAAGTCCTCAAACTCATCGTCATCTGGGCTTCCATCAGCTGGAGGCAGTCTTACAGAACTAATAACAACAACAACAACACAGTCTTTCATCATACTCCATGAATTTATCCTTTGTTTGCTCTCATGGTTCTTCAAGCACAAGGTAACCATGGATATTAAAACACTTCGGGTGAGGAATCCTTCAAGTCCACTGCTGATTGTCTTTGGCATTTTGTCTGGTTTCTGAGACATTTTGTCCAGAGTCCTGTAAGTTCAGTTGTAGGTGGGAAGAAGTACCACAGAAAATTTTTTTCCAAGAAATCAATTCAAATAAGCAAAGAATTTTACCCAAAAGACAAGGGTTTGAATTTTATCTACTAGCTTGAAAGGTAAGTATAACTACATGAATGTGAAATATCACATAGCACTGTGCTTTGATTGTATTTCAAGAATCACTTTCTGAAGTGTGATCACATATCTGATCCCACTTTGTGTGACTTCAAGAATCTCACTTTGGTAACACTTTCTGAAGTGTGATCTGGATCACACTTTGTGCGGCTTCAAACAACCTGTAAATCAGTCACTTTCTGAAGTGTGCATGATCATACATCTGATCACACTTTATGTGATTTCAAGAATCAAAGTTCAGTCACACTTTCTGAAGTGTGATCACACAATCTGATCACACTTAATGTGATTTCAAGAATCAAAGTTCAGTCACACTTTCTGAAGTGTGATCACACATCCGATCACACTTAATGTGATTTCAAGAATCAAAGCTCAGTCACATTTTCTGAAGTGGGATCACACATCCGATCACACTTAATGTGATTTCAAGAATCAAAGCTCGGTCACATTTTCTGAAGTGTGATCACACATCCGATCACACTTAATGTGATTTCAAGAATCACACTTTAGTCACACTTTCTGAAATGTGATCACATGTCTGATCACACTTTACCTAATTTCAAGAATAACACTTCAGTCACACTTGCAAGTGTGATTCCACTTTTATTTTGGAATGAGGGAGGCCAAAGACCATCACTTCTCCCATGTGAAGCACTTAAAACCCAGGCTTATGATTGATGTATTAAAAAAAATATCTTTAACATCTTCTGATACAATTTTTCTAAACAATGCAAACAATACTATATAAGGCACATATACAGACCTTGAGACTAGTGAGTACTTGGTATTGAGCTGGCCAACATTCCAGAGCATCAGGATATCACTTGAAACAGTACATAACTGGCGCCAGTTCATTGGGTTGAATGACAGTCCACCAGTACACAAATGTCTTCCAACATTAATTGAACAGAGCTTTATCCTCTCAAACCAGTTCCTGTAGTTATTCAATATTTAAAATGATGGTCAGTAATTAAAATATTTACTGGAACATATATCAAGATTAATTATTATAACTAGCAAAGCAAGACTGTACTTGTGTTAAGAAATCAAAAGATTCCTTTATGCTTTTAGATTTGCAATATATACCATAAATCTGAATGAGTTTTGAGGCCAATGTTTCACTGTTATTATTGACAGAAGTTGTACAGTCATGTAGATTTACCTTTTCTCTTGGAAAAAAAAAGTATCAAATAGGAAATAATGAAATTCTCACCAGACAGTTAGCTGAACATCTGGAATGCCCGAATATGTTGCCAAGATGGTGCTGTTATTTGCAAAAGCAATGTAGGAGTACGTCAGCCTTGCACCACCTAAAGAATAAAAACATTTTATACTATCACATTTTTAAGTTATGCCCTACATATAATGGTATTCAGTGTATTTATGTGCCAATCTAAACCTCACAGAATAACTCCACTAGTAAACTAACAGTAATGCACAAAGCAAAAATGCAAGCCTACCTATTTCCATAAATTAGTTAGGATTTCATGATATGTCTGTTCATACATTTTGTTAATGAGCATTTTTACACACTACTTAAGCCTAGTAATAGGTAGTTTGCAACCAATCTCTCAGGTAACAATGGTGAAAGGAACAAATGCTGGTGGACAAACAAAAGAAGCTAATGAGATATCTATTGTTTTCGTCCACCAACATGGCGGCAATGACATAACATGCAAACCACCTATCCTTGACATATTTGGGAAATGCACCTTATGTCTAGTCACTTGAGTTTGAGCTGCTATTGGAAAGATTTCTGTATAACCCCATACCAATCAAACAAAGCCGAAGTCCCAAAGGTAATCTGTTGTTTAATGCTTCTGTTTTCTTTTCTCCAAGAATTGCATGCATAATCAAGTATGGGGTTATACAGAAATCTTGTCCTGCTGTTAACCGATATTTAACCAGAAACAAACTTTACCTTCAAGAACAGCTCGTGGTCTTGAGTAGTCAGGGAAACTGTAAATAAAGAGCTTGGGATTGACTCTCAGTTCAGCAAAGGCAATGTTACTAGTGGAAGAGTTCACAGCAAATGCTCCAATTCCATCTCCAGGACTGGATAAAACTGACTCCCTCTTGTCTTTTGTGTTTACAAATTTGATGTTATTTCCACAGACAAAGCAGACAGTGTTGCTGTTGACAAACAATGCTGGGGAGCCATTATATCCCTGGGCCCACCTGATTGATGTTATAAAAAAGAGAAAGGTTAGTCATATATTGCTGTTAAATGATATGATTACAAACGTCGCAAAAAGATACTTCAAACATAGCCCTCCTTTTAAATGAAGCACATTGTGTGAAAGAGAGGCAAAATTCCCGGCAAGAGTTCCATATAACCCCACGCATACAGTGTTGCAGAGAAACCTTTGTATTTAGTCTTTATGAAATGGAATGCATAATTAATGTATGGGGTTATATGGAACTCTTTCCAAATTCCCCTTAACGTGGATAGAAAAAGGTCAGCTCTCTCCTAAAAAGCGAGCACATACTTACAGCTGTACATCATTTTTTTGTGAGAAAACCATCAGAGGCGATCACAATTTTCAATGAACAATTTGTACTACTCCATTAAGTATTTTGAATTTCGTGCATTGAAAACCCCGATATGAAACTTCTACTACACTTTGTGACAGAGGAAATTACATTGATCATCAAGCTACTTTGAGCCAACGAGGAAACTTCTAGTAAGCTTTTCTCTGCAACAGACAGCAAGGACGTTGCGCGTTTTTCCTTTTCGTAATTGGCCTAAATGTCTGGGTTTACCTATCAAATGGTATCAAGATAACCAAATAATTCTTACCCGAGCTCAAGGGTTCCAAACTGATCCATTTTCAGAGTCAAAACATGTAAACATCTCAACTTCAATGAGCCTTTCTACATTTCACCGCCATTACTATTTCTTTTTGTCGTTGCCATGGACGCAAGTCCGCTGACCAGAATTCACATTATGTTCCAGGTCTTTACCAGTCTCCTCACTATCCCGTTATGTTGAAAGCAAACGGACCGAACTAAATGGGAACATATGGATTTCCCACTTTTCATTATGGACGGAAAACCAATCGGAGGGTAGGGTTTTTCTGAACCTCACAGAACGCATTTTTCCAGGGATTTATCTCTTCACACTCTACCTCCTTCTCCTTTAGCGGCTTCCACATCAGCGCACGCTTCGCCACGTCTCCCACAGTTCCGTAGAGTATAATAGTCCAGCAAGGGTTGAAACTCACGCTAAGACATACAGGCGACTTAGCAACTGACGAGAAACTTAGCCAAATGCACAGGGGCGACTCTGGCCATTTCCTGATTTTTTCTTTACGAAAAACTGCTTTATTAGAAAGAGCTACAAAATTGAATAATAATTGAAGTCTAATTAAGAGTTTGAACCTGCGCCCACGACTGTTCGCTGTCATGGGAAGTTCTAATACAAATTGGTCAGGTCACGCTGGAACGGCGCGCAAGTTATTCGGTTAGAAACATTGGCGCCGCTGAAAAGGTATCCCACCGGCTGCAAGTCAAGCTTGCGGGTGTCGAGCTCACTCCACTATGATCATCAGAGGCCGGAAGGTCTAGAAGGGGTTGGGCACCAAAAATGTCTGGCTAGCCAATCAACGCCATATCTTTCCTGAGGACTTGAATCCTTGTACAAACGAGGAAGTAGTCTTTGCCAATAGAGACGGGGCTAAAATTCGACCGGAAAACAGTTTAAGACCCTTGTCTACGTAGACAGACAACTCCCACGGGTGCACTTTCAAAACCAACTTCTTTCTCATTGATTTAAACCTCTTTACTGCAAGGGAGAGTGGAGAAACTCTCGAGTCGTCATTTTCTTGAAAGCTAAATTTGACGGAGGCGGGCCCAGTTATTTTCACCAATCCTGTCTTCATTTTTTTTCGCACACTCGGGAATCTCCGTATATTTCAGCTATCATACAACACGTAAGTGGGTTTGAAATTTTTTATTTGTTTATAAAGTTTAACAAGCCAGAGAGAGTCTGTACAATTTTCACGTGAAGAAGGGAGACAAAGCGTTTGAAAAAAAAATTATATGGTCTGTATAGGTTGGCTTCGCTGTTAACAGGAAAGTCCGAAAGTAAGCGAGGGAAAAAAAACAAATCGTAAGTTACTCTAAATCCTTGATGTCAGGATTTTGTTTGCTAGAACGTGAACTGAACTAAACATACTACAGAAAGGTCGAATGCTCAAGCTAACAAAGAGTAAACGACACAAAAAAAAACTGAAAACTTGCTGGAAAAAAAAAACTTACGTTTAGGCTATTAAGACACTGCAGTTACTCATCTGTTTAAAATACATCATTATTCAAAGTGGCTTAAGGCCACTGCAGCCCGTCGTTCATTCAAATTCTTTATGGTGATGATTGCATCCCGCATCAACAAAAACAAAGAATACATTCCCACCAATAATTTACAACATCTCAACTACCTTGACCAACGAAGAACCCTTTATGTACAAGTTAGTTTTACTGTCATTAGCGCAAAATAACAATAAAAACCCTCGAAAAAATGGCTCAAAAGCGCATTTAGGACAGTTGAGGATCACTAGCCAAATTGAAAATTAAGTGTGCGATTACCTTTCCAAGGTCTGCGCACAGGCGACATCGATGCCATCAAGGATACAGAGAGATATATATATATATGGGAAAGAAAATCCGCCACTAGACTAGTACTAAGGGTTAACGACATCATGTTGAGAATCATTCACGCACGATTAGAACAATTTTAGCTTAGTCTTAACACTAAACTTAGGTAGCCCAGAATACTAGTGTAATGACAAACATGGTCTCTTTCGTAACCGTCTTTTGGGCACGGAACAGGGTAACAAGTAAAACGACGGCTTCGAGGGAGACCGTGACAAACAAGACCCCTTTTCAAACAAGAATGTTCTCCCCTTGTTAGTAGAGTTCATTGATTAGTTGTCTGGCTCGTTGGGGCTTTCTTAGGAGGAGGAAAGCTAAGATTTCACTCGTCCCCCGTCACCCTCGCTGACAAAGCGCTTTCGTCCCCTGCAACACAAAGGGAAACACATTATTAAAAAATAAATAAATAAATAAAAAAAGACACTGAACAATTCGTACATCCCACCGATAAAAATAATTGATCTGGCCCCGGTTGTTCGAAGGATGGATAACGCTATACACTGGATAAATCTCTATCCAGTGGTAGCAGAGTTCTTTTTGCTGACACTCAGTATCCGCTAGAAAGCGATTTATTTATAGGATAGCGTTCTCCGCCCTTTCAACAACTGATTCCAAAACAATAGGCAAATTGGAGCAACCCTGGACAATTTCAAGACTGCGCACTGATACACCAAGGAAAGGTTACCACTCATAATTTCAGCTGAACTCGCCTCAAATTTACCGGAATGATGCAGCGAAAAGGAAAAAGAAACAAAATTTTTGTTTCTGGGTGGTCCAGTTGTTACAGAGTATATTTTAGTGAATGTAATACGTTCAATTAGTACATGGAGATAAGAACTTCCTGGTACTACGATGTGGAATTGGGAAGACTTCTGCCACTCGTCGTTGGATGTTTCAGACGAAATTTACGGCTAAATAATTTTGGGCATACGCGGAGCCATTAATTAAAGGGAAGGTCTTGGTGAACCCTTGCACCCACATACCTGGAAGGGACTTTCATCGTAAAGGATATTGGAATAATTCCATCGCGGGCACACATGTCAGTGAACTTTTCCAGGAGTGTATGAGCATGTGGAATATCCAGTTGAATGTCGGAGAAAGAGTCAAACACACGTTGAAATCCCTGTTAAATGAAGCAAACATACAAAAAACAAAACAAAACAGCCCTTAATAAGACAAATCCTTTAACATCCTTAGAGACTAAGTCAATACCTAGGGATTCTAGTTCTTTAACTTTCTTCACCCAAAGAACTCGCAACAAGCTTACATTCTTTATTTGGTCCGGTTTGACGATGTTGGTGTTCGAGAAGAACTGCAGTAAATTCTTCATAAGTGTCATCACTCGATCATGCTCGTCTTCCAATGTCATGATGATTGCCTGTTGTCAAATAACAACAACAAAGTCAGACTTTACAACGTGTAGAAAAGTAACTATCTATTAACAGGACTCTTAAACCCCATTCACATAAAAGCTAGCCTAAAGGGGTTTCGAAGCTGTTTGTTAAACACGGTTAAAAATTGTCTTCTACATTAAAAACTGTTTAAACCGATGTTTGTCGACTTCAAATTTAGCATATTGAAAGTAAAAGTTAGTGTCTACGTGAATCCTATCGAGAACTTAGTTTTCAGCTCTATGTTTCTGATCCTCACTCAGTTAAACCTGGTAAAAGGTCCAGGAACCAACATCAAACTCAACCCAAATGTGATGTTATGTTCTACAATTGCGCCCAAATCACAGTTGGGGAGGCAAACACTCTCATCCTCTATGCCATCCATTCTTCCCGCAAGTATCATACCTAAGTAACCAACCACATTAAAATCCTTGAGAGTACAGGACTATGATGCTTGTGACATCCACCTACAGTTTAGTAAATTTAGGTACAACAAGTATCTTCTAGTTCTGCGGTAGAGCATCGGGATATTGATTAATAGTGAAAGATTCAATCGATTTGCGCAAGTGTACAAGAAGGAGCTCAGCAATTCAATGGTAACCGTAATACCTCGTAAACCAGCTCATGATAGAAATGCGGCACTTCCAACTCCTGGACACAACGGCTTGCCTGGCAAAGAAGACAATGCAATCAACCATAAGGATACTTCTTCTGAATCTTATGGTTCTCATTTTACTCATCCACTTAATTTCTTTATCTTCGGTTTAGACACAAAACGTTTAATCAGTGTTTGGGTCAAATTGTCCCTTTCAAATGCATTTGCTTACAGAGGGTGGACTAGAGTTTTAACTGCTGGTTTACACAGTAATCTTTAGAAAAGATTCCAATCATTAAATACTTGGAAAATCATTTATTTATTTATTTTAGTACCTAAAACATTACTTACCTCTTCAATATCTTCTGAAGACAAATACTCTTTTAGCAACAAGACCATCTGTAAATATAAAACTACATGTAAGAGGGTAAATTCTCACATGATGAGTTAAGGGGGCTATAAAAGCTAACTTCCCTGCAATGCTGACACACCACAGCTGATGGTTCACATAAAGGAAAGCTGTTAAGGTACATGTCTAGCACAGACCATTTGTAATAACTCAAAGTTGCTTTAATTTGTTTCATCAAATGCATTGAATTGGTGGGAGAGTTTGTCACTTCTTTTTCAGTGAGTGAAACTCAGACCTGTCAAAATGTAGCTTAAAGCTTCTACTTGGGGCATTTTGGAGAGATAATTTTCATCAACACTATCAACTAATTGCCTCTTAAACTCTGCTAATTGAGACAAACCTTTTTCACAAGGTACTTGACTGGGCGTCTTCCTCCAGCCACACCCCACACACTATCCAATCTCACCATTCCATGTTTCATTTTCAGCAGCACACCTGCTTCAGTCAAGGCTTTGCTGTTAAAATAGTGAAATTATACGTTATTTTCTTGAGAATCTTTTTAGCAACAAAATAAAACAAGCAATTAACTACCAATAGAAGATTGTACTTACGCTTGATTAGAATTAGGAGGAGCATCTCCCAAATTACTAACAAAAGCTGGTGGCAAACAGTCATCAGCAATAGCACGAGCTATGAACTTTCCCACCATCTTGGAAAGAGCACAGAACTCTTTTTTAGAACAGCATCATATAAGTTTGTTAAGAATAAAATATAATAATTGCACTTGCACTCATAGTGGCCCAAATTGCACAGCCCCCACTGCTCTCCCCTGCCCTCACATTTTTGTTCAACCACCCTATAGCTAGGAGCATTTTAGAATCTTTAGGGGTATGTGCATGGCTGAGTGAAAGATAAGCCTCCCCTACCCACATTTCAAAGCACCCCCCCACCTCTGTATCAGTAACCATCCATGTTAACATTACCTCAGGAGCATCAGGGGTGTCCAAACATAAATCATCAAGGTCATCTAACAGCTGCTGGAACCCTGCAATCAGAAACATAGGATAACTAAATTATAAAAAAGGGCACAGAAAAGATGAAGTGAATCATGTGCTTGAGTTGGCCACTTTAGCTGGCAAAAAGATCTCTTTTACCCACTCACTCAACCACTCTTTTCCAAAAAGTGCTGGCACCTAGCTTTGTTACTTATACACTTTTTTTTTTACCAAAATATGTTTTGCCTTTCTTTTTAGGCACATTACTACAGACACATGCATGCAAAATGTTGGTGTTTGCTTTTTGTTTAGGGCTTCATGCTCTGCCAAAAAAATCTCCTTATGCCACTTTAATCAGGACTGGACAATCTGCTTCATATCCAATACTTGCCTTGAAGAAAGTATTATGTTCCAAAAATGAGTACCAGAACAACAACAGGAGATCGGAATACAAAATAATGGTCAGGCACTTATATGATCTTAACATGAAATATGATGCATTTGGCTCTTGAATAGGCAACATTTCCTGTCTTAAAGACTGTGACACTGCTCTGGATCCATTATTAACTTACCTTGTGCTATGTCATTTTGGCTGAGGTGTTTGCCATACAAGTCTGAGATGAGAACAGATGCCATCTCCCTCTGAGTTGCCTGTAAGTAAGAAATTTGTGAAAATCCTACCCTACTAGTTACACAGCTTTTCTTTCAGGTGAAAATTAACTCTGTAAATGTGGTAACTGTTTTCTCCCTAGAACCCAAATTTTATAGTGGTTTACAGCTGTAAACTGTTTATAATACCATTCACAGAAGAGCCTTAAGAAGTTAGTGATTTTATAAAATTTTTAGAGTGTAGTTCTGGAACATATTCACTGTCTAACACAGAAGGAAATGTAAACTCCAGCAAGATCAGGGAAGGCTAGAAGGAAAGTCCCACAAATTCTGAGGTACACAGTTGTCATTAGAATTGTGCTATTAAAAAGATGACTTAAATGCTGAGATAACCTCATTCAAAACACAATCATTTTACAATTGAAAAAATCTTTTTGTCTCTTGAAAGTAATTTAGAATCGAGCTTCATACAAATAATGTTACCATTGTACTAAAAAAATGTCACATTGTTGAACAGAAATGAAATGGTGACATGCAATTAATGGCACATTTAAAAGTGTCTCCCACATTTTTTGCCCATTGTAGACTCACCTTTTTCTCCAGTGCAAGACTGACAGCAAAGGCAGGAACCTGAATTTTAAAAAACATTAGCTTATTATCAATTATTGTCTTGACACAAAGGATGAAAAACATTGATTAACTAATTGGTTTCATAAATCATAAATGGCCCCACACCAAAACATAAAAGAGAGGAGGAATCTTTACCCTGCAATAGTGCTAGGAGATTAAATATGTGTAAATAAAAATTTTCTCAACATATATCCTAACAGAAGTTACGACAACAAAAAGATAACATCAGTTCTGCGAAATAGCATTTTCTAATGATGATAATCATCTTAATCATAACCATAACAACAACAAGATGTTAAGCTCTACCTTGTACTTCCTTGAGGATATGTTAAGTTCCTCCAGGGAGAGCTGTTTAGAGAACCATATTAGCAAACGATTAATCATGCATTTACTTACTTCAAAAAGAAAACAAAAAACCATCAACTTCTCACAGCCAGGAAAAAAGCTTTACAAAAGACAGAAAACCATGCGAGATGATTATTACACAAGGCACAATCCTTGCCACTACAATATAACCTTTTTAAATCTTCCCTGTTACAATTAACAAAATTGCCTTTCAGTTGAGTACTATGAACTTTCTTTATTTCAAAACCCAATTATGTGCAATGATTTAGAAACATTTATATTGTAAAAAAAAAACATCAAGGCATCAAGCTACATTCTTCAGTGCAAAAAAAAACAAAACAAAACAAAAAAAACCAGAACATAAAACATCACCAAATGAAGCCAAAATTAAAACACCTTCACTCCCACCTCATTTCTGTCCTGAAAAACATTATCTACCAAGTGAATTTGATCATTATCAGGTAGACATCAACAATTGGCTCACCAAGACATCCTCTGTGTCTCCATGCTCAAAATATTCCTGAAAAAACATATTATGAACAAACAAGTTCATCCAACAGTCCTTCAACATCCATTGAATAAAAAATGCAAGATATCCTTATTCATCAAAACCAGTAGGTGACTGGCCTTAAAAAATGTAAATGCTGGTCACATCTCAAGTTCAAATCCAAGCAGTACGATGAGAGTTAATTATGACACAAACATATGATGAGTCATGTGGCAACACAATGAAATTAGTATTTGAATCCTATAAGTTTATTTCCTGTTGGCTGCCCTTGGGTCTTCAATCCTCTTAAAAATATTGTGTGAACCCAAATTGTGAAGCCTTACAAGAGGAAAAAGTCTTTGTGAATGTCTGATAATGATAACTAGACAGGGCAATCTTGAATTTTTCATTCTCTCATTTCACAGATATCAGAGGAATGAACCCTTAAAGAAACTGGAAGCTCGTTTAGGGCTACCCTCTTCTACATTGATGGGAAGATTAATTACCTTCACAATCGGTGTGATGTTTCTGCTAAACTCTTCCTCAGTAAGCTCTGGTTTGCACTCCTTGATATCAAAAGGCTCCTACAAGACATATAACTCATTGTAACCATGACCTCTTAAACAAATGTAAACTCAATCATGGCAAGATACTCTTGAAATGGTAAGTGGGCATGCTGCCAAGTACACTGCTTATGCTGGCTGGCAGTCAGAAAAATGAACACATTCAAGATATTACATTCCAAGAACTTATAAGGAAAAAGATATTTGGTGACAAACACTGTTGACACAAAAACTCCAACGTTTGTGATTCTATAGAAAAAATACTGACACCAAAATATACATTACGACATGCAGAGCTGATACCTACATCCTCATCTTCCTCCGATTCATAATTTGGATCATGATGGTCTCTGATCTTCAGATCTTCATCTGTCAACACTTCCCCAATGGCTCCCCAAGTACCCTTTCCTCCTGCTCCACCTGCAGATATTCAAATGGATGACTACCCTATTCTTTACTAATCTGATTTACACATGATTACTAATCCAGGTTCCCACAGGCATCAAACTTTCATCCTTCACTTGCTGGTGTTCAGCAGAATTAGTTCACATTTTTGGCAGGAAAAAAAATTAATTTAAACCAAAAGTTTTTCCCAGATATTTTCAAATCACTACTGCTCCCATTTTCCAGATTTCAGACATGAATCAAGTCACATGGCTCAACCTAACATGCACTAAATAACATGTGTTCAATCTTTGGAAGTTAAATGTTTATGTATTAGTTCATTCTGGCAAAATAAAATTATGTTTTGACAAAACATCAGTCTAAGTTTTCTCCTGTTTTGAAAACATCATGTCTTCACCATGTGCAGTCAATGTACCAGAATTGATTTGTATCTTCACATGCAAAGAAGCCTCAGAATAACAAGGTTTAACAAGATGTAAGTTTTACTTTTCAGGAACAATACTTAATGGTTGAGTTGTTCTTTGTCTGCTTGTGGATATGAATTCATCACACGTGAAGACAAAATTTGAATGCATGCTCTGCTAATGCAATATCAGGTCACATGAAGTAGGATTCAATCATCCCAAATCAAGACTCTTTAGATACCCAGCTTTTAAAACTACTCAACCAAGAGAGCGAAATTATGCAGGCATAATTGTTTTCTTACCCAAATAGCCAGTATCTGAGGTGAATTTGCATGCCAATATAGCTTGAGGCCGGGCAGTTGTGAGATCATGGAGCTTTCCATATGGCAACTTAAAGATTTTCCTCTTTAGAAGAAAAAATCTCCTAAAGGTAGTTTAATACAAACTAACATTTCTGTTTTATACAACTTAATCTCTGGGTGGACTGTGAACTGTGTGAAACATTCTACTTGCAAGGTCAGCTAAGTAAGAAAAACGCGTTTGTATCATTAAATTTGCAAACCAATCAGGTTGTTTTGCTTCCTTTGTTGTCAATTAAAACCCCATTTACAACTTAAAATCCACAATTCCTTCCACTCAGAGCTTTTTATGATCCAAAAACACAGCATTTCTGTTAATTTTTGGTAAACATTACGCTACATTGCTTCTATCAAACTAAGACGTTTGCCGTGTAAGATTTCACTCCTCAAATTCTCCATGGATGACTGAACACACGAGTTCAAAAGGGTAGATTCAACTGCTGTAAACAACTTGAAAAGGTTTTTCTTTCGAGACGAAACATGGTGAAAAAGTAAACTTAAGCTACAGTAATTCCGATTTTACTCTAACTTCACTCGAAAGGTTTTGCTTCTTGAAAACCTAGGAATCCAATCAGGCATGAAATCAATCCATCTTGCTTTGTTTACAAATTTCCGACAGAGTAAGTTATCCAGTATTTTAGTACCTCTGACCACGAGACATACTCCTTCGTAGCAATATGACGATCAGTATTTGCGACACTTTTATTGCACGAAATGTTTAAAATATCTGCAAGCTTATGGAAATCCCTCAAACAAAGCACCCTTTCTCAGTAAAAAATCATTTCGTGCGTTCAGGGATACGGTGGTCACAATCCTATCATAAGCCAAAATTCATCCAGCAGAGAGGTCGACAAAAAAAAATTTAGCTTTAGGTACAGTTTTATATAAACTGAAAGAATTTAAAGAGAAATAAACCAACTTTTAGCAACATAACACACTGAAAGATTACAGCAGCTCATTAGCACGAAAGCATTTCAAATTCAAAACACAATATTGTAAAAATGTACACAAGCATGGCTGTACGCCTACAAAAATTTGCAACACCTTCAATTTGGAGCTTTACGATGATAAACAAAAGGTCGAAATGACTCGGAAACTTGTTTAAATTCATGCTACGCACGTTGGGAACAAATATAACCCTGCATTTAGCAGTGATAAATGAATAAACGTAGTTGTAAGAAAAGTAAAATTACTACTCAAGGCCGCGTGGCAGCCAGGATCAACCTCACTGTGTGCAATATTCATGAGCCAATATGTGTTTTGATACGAAACCATCGTTTGTTGAAAGATTTGCAAACCTTGACAAACACAAGTGCATATGCACGGAAATTTCATAACAAACAACAGTGCAGTTTCACGATAAAAATAACCCTGGCTCCTTTCTGAAAAAAGGATAAGCTGACTTACCTTTCTTTGGTAGACCTCTGCGACCGCTCCGGGATTTTCTATCATGGTGTTTATCCTTGGGGGCTTTCACGAACAACGTTGCTTCTCCGCCACTTAGTGTATGGCTAAAACCATTCTTTACGAATGCTTTAGTAGAATCAATCACCACTCGTGTTCCATTGTTCTGTGGAGCCTCTTTCACGTCTTCAACAGCTGAGGTTGACTTGCTTCGAACACGCATCTTCTTCGTGGAGGCTGTTGGAATTGTGGTTACACCACCGGAGGAAGGGGAACTGGCCATTTTCACCGTTCCAGAGCGAGAGAGAAAAAGTTTAGCATAGAAATCTATGCAGAAAAGCCTTGCTGGCAATCTCTGCGAGCGCGGGCTGCGAAAACCAAAGCTAGAAAGCAAGGTCGTCGATGAAAACAAGTGGTACGAAGCAGCTTCCTTCTGATTTTGGAAAAGTTTGTTGTTTTTAGCCCAATGAAGTCAGCTGACATAAATTCGTCTTCTGATTGGTTCGTAGGGAATAAATAAGAAAGGTACGATGGGGGAGGGGCCCAGGTTGCTTGTGTTGACAAGATGGGTTTTACAACTTACCGTACTTGTTTATATTTTTCATCAAATGTTTGAGTCTTCTGATCAACAGTTTTAAAATGTCGATTACAACTGCAGAAACGATTTTAGTTAGGTCATAAAAGGCAATTGGCAAGTAAGTCCGTGTTTATTCGCGCTGTTGCAGGCAAATTTTATTTGTCCAGCTGATTGCATTCGTTTCAAGATTTCAGAAATTCTATCCGGGTGAACCTTTAGGATAAGTGTGAAAAAGTTATCATGCATAAATTGTTAAACGTTTTAGTTATGTTATCACAAAAACGGCTTATTTGAGCTGAGAGTGAAAGCTACTAAAAATCATATTCAAATTTTACTCGTGAAATGTAATCATTTAATTTTCATCACAGACGAAAAAATAGTTTATCATTAAAATTCTTAAGAGCCTCTCGCATTAGGCGCCAATGCACAGGCGCTGTTCGGGCACGGAGCCTGCGCTGAAGACCGCACTCGAGAAGGCGGAAATCGAGCCTTCTCTTGCATTAATGAGGTAATGCACTCGTCACGCTTTTTAAGGCGTGACGATGAACTTGTCACGCAGCTCCTACAGGCGTGGCATTTTTGCCACGTTAGCTAGATCTACGTGCTTCCACCCAACCGCAAAACCATAACAAAGCCTTCCAACGGTTTGATATTGAAGAAAGAATTCCCTAGAAAATCTAATATGCTTCCTTAACCAGCTATGATGTGCGACTTAAATTCACAGAAATATTTCAATAATTCAGGCACTGGATTGGTTGAAAGTCTAGAAATAGAAGACCCTTTGAGTCCTATCGCACAAACAGTACAGACAGTACAGGGCACATCCACCTTACCTACCAGTTTGTCCAAATTTCTTCCCGAGCAAACCTTGCTTGATTACCAGTCGAATTGTCTCAATCAAACTCAGAACCGTTCAAAATTCCCGTAAGATTTTTCACCACTCAGTTAAATTGTGTCTCGATTCGTATTTTTCTCGAACTGTATGTACGAATTTGATCAGACGACGCGTCTGTTATATAACGATAGGAACAAAATTATAAACATTACACACGCACCCTAAGTTTTCATTGGTCTAATCTTTCAAAAGCTTTTGTCTGGTGTTTCATCAGCTTAGTCACGTGCGATGCAAACTGACACTGCTTGTCACGTCCACAAAATAGTTCGTTTGGCGATTGACTTGTTTCACTTGGCGCCATTCGCCTTGATTATATATTTGTTTTCAATAGGAATTCTGCAATTTTTAAGCGATAATCTACAAATCTTCACTGTAAGTTTTACATCAATGACTCTGGTAACCTCTCAGAGCAAGGAGGTCACCCGCTGAGTTCCAATTGGTGACTTTTTATATTGTGTGCGCTAAAGCACGTCGAGACAAAAGTGTTTTGCAACGACGAATTGGTCACCTCATGTTAAGAGAGATGCATATATAACTAAATATTTGGGCACAAATTCGCCTTTCTCTAAATTTTTGCTTTGTTTTTCTATTACTTGTTTTTCTGATTCATTTTATTCTTCATTCGCTCGACTGGTTTTGATGGCTTCCGCGTTACAAACATTTATCATAACATGGGAGGGTGCGAGGTCTAAGTTGTTTGTGCTAGGGATTATTTGGCGTAAAAATGCACCTGCCGGAAAAAGCTGTGTTTGCAATGAACATTATCTAAGAAAACTTGCAGAGGGACATTAATAAATGAAAAACTACCAGACAAAAACTTAACTTTAAGCCACCTGAGTTTCAACTACACAGCAAACCCGTCGGTAACCTGTTTTAAATCACATATTCCAAGTCACGAACAATCGAGGAGAGTAGGAGAGTAAAAGAAAACATAATCTCAACTTCTACTACGGCGATCAAAAAGTTCGAGCTCGAGGTCTGCAATTTGAAGGCCTGTCCCGATTTTTCCCATTGTGCGCGGCAACTTTTGAGCAACTTTTGGCGTTTGGAGCAACTTTTTACGGTTCCGGCAACCTCGAGCAAATTTAGCCTTTCTAAGCAATTTTTAAGGAAAATACAGGTTTATAGTGCACAGCAACACGAACAGGTCAGCGATTTCATAGAAAACTTCACTCTAAGCGAATTTCTCGAATGTTTATTAACTTTTTTGAACTTATAGCCTGTCAAGTGATAACGTTTCGCGGCCCTATTTCGATCTTTATCAATGGGCTCCTGTGTATACACCGGTCCCTTAGAACGGATGGGAACCACAGCGACGATTTGATCTGGTAGGGGTAAGGTCAGCCTAGCAATGAACCAACCCCTGCTTCATGGTACCGTACAACAATCGGGACATTTCCTTTACCCAAAACATGTAATCAGTTCTGGACTGTAGGTACGGCGCAGTGGAGGAGTCAGACCTTCTTTCTTCATCTTTTTTTTTAGACAAAATTAAATAGGAAAGATATTTTCAAATATCTGTAATTCCTAAATTATGGGGTAATAAAGTTGTTGTTGTTGTTGTTGCCACTTTATATGAATGATTCTGGCTTGTTCCCCTCATTCTTCTTAGCTTTCTTGCCTGATTTCGACGTGTTTTTAACTGTTTCAACTAGTGCACGTGAACTGAAACATCGAATATTCCCGAGGCTGCTAAATGCCGCAGCGCATGCTCCGTAACCAGTATGTATAGAGTCATCCTGGGTACTAGAGTGAATCCAGAGTGAATCCAGATACGTGTGGACGGGCGAATAATAATAATAATAATAATAATAATAATAATAATAATAATAATAATAATAATAATAACTTTTATTTCTATAGCGCTCTTATCCTATGTTCGAGGCGCTTTATAACACTGTGCGGGGGTGACTTTGCCAGACTGACAATGGCAGTTTACAATCAACAAAGGCAAATTTTTCACAGATGCCCCCCTCCCCCCAATTCCCAGGAAACAGGCCAGACCACATCACAGTAATTTCGTGATGTGGGTTCTTTAACGTCCCCTGCCTAATCAAATTATCTTATTAATAGATGCAGGAGACGGGACCTACGGTTTGTTCGTCCTCACCCGAGAAGACTAGAATGTCTATCCATTTCTTAATATTATAGAAAAGTAACACATTCTCTTCAGTTATTTTAAGACCATGAGTGTTGGTCCGGCTGGGTCTCGAACCCTCGACCTCCCGCACAACAGTCCGGCGCTCTAACCAATTGAGCTAACCGGGAGGCGGAATTCGATTTAAATACGCTGTGATCACATAACGTGTGGACGCGGATATTTTCGTATCCGGAAAGAAAAAGTTGTGGATTAAATAATATCCGGATAGGTGTGGACGGAGCCTAAGAGTAAAAGAAACTATTTCTAGTTAAAGAAGCTCCTGATTGTCAAGCAAATTCTCCTTGTCAGAACCATGAGAAATGTAAAAAGAACAGTGTGAAGAATATCAATACTAATAATAAAAATGTTATAGGGACGTAATAGGAAGCGCACCTTTGACGTGTTCTAAAAGTAACATATTGGTGTGCTGATTGATCAAAGGAACAATTTCATATGTTTGTTTTTTTCCGAAACAAAAATTTCTTTGTTGCATAATCGCGACAAAACAGTTTTTACAGCTATACGAATGTTATTCCCTTATTACGCTTTTTCTGTTACCATTTTTCCTTTTAAGTACTGTTCTGAAACATTAAAGGAGCACTCTTACGAAACCGCCCTATAATTTGAAAACCCGAAAACTTCAGTTATTTCATTATAATATGAATTCTTAGCGATCAATGTAGCCTTTTCAATAATAATTTTATTTGAAAGTCAATTCTAGGGCGAGAAATTACGATTTGAAAACCGTTCCGCCATTAATTTTCGTAATTACGGCCAACTTATCTTAATTAATTTAATCCATTTTTACTGCATTATTTGCAGTGGGGAAGGACTAGAAAGGAACATACGAACCATTCGTGCTAGTCCACCCTCCCACCCATCCCACCCCAGGGGAGTACATCCATCACACAGTAATGTGGGAAATTTACGTCTCCTACCCCAGCCCTGCAGGAGACGGGACCTCCATTTATTCGTCCCTATCCGAGAAGACTAGAATATCTAACCTTTTCTTGATGTTATAGAAAGGTAGAAAATTCTTCTCAATTATTTTAAGACCTTGAGTGTTGGTCCGGCCGGGGCTCAACCCTCGACCTCCCGCACAACAGTCCAGCGCTCTATCCATTGAGCTAACCGGGAGGCGGTTAGCTTCGGTCAGCGGTCACTCCCATTGTGACGTAGATTATTCAAAACATTGTTGGCGTCATTTAATATTTATACGGAAACCTTGTGAAATTTAGTGAAATAGTCTTAAAGGTGAAAGGTAAAGTCTGTTTACGAGCCTAGTGGCCCATCAGGGCGGTGCTTAACTCCGGTTTCTGTAGCATGAAGCGACTAGGAGTATTTCTACCCCCCCCCCCTGGATGGGATGCCAGTCCATCACAGGGTTACCCCCAACATAAATTCCCGGTACCCATTTAAACACTTGGGTAGAGAGAGGCACTGTGAGAGTAAAGTGTCTTGCCTTGAGAACACAACGCAATGTCCCGGCCGGGGCTCGAACCCGGACCACTCGATCCGGAGTCGAGCGCACCAAAAACCTCGTGAAATTTAGTGAAATAGTCTCAGTCGTAGTGTTATAAAAGCAATATATACGATCAAAGTACTGTTTTTGAAAATTAGCCACGAGCACGGCGCGTCAAATGAGTAATCTACGTCACGCTCCAAACTCGCGCCAATCTTCTTGAGTCTGGCAAGTGATTACGATGGCGGAACGGTTTTCAAATCGTAATTTCTTGCCCTAGAATTGACTTTCAACAAAAATTATTGTTGAAAAGGCTTTATTAATCGATAAAAAATTCATATTATAATGAAATAACTGAATTTTTCGGGTTTTCAAATTATAGGGTGGTTTCGTAAGAGTGCTCCTTTAAGAACAGGCTCCTTAGTTGCATGTGCAGATGCACAGGGCAAATAACGAAATGAAAAGGCAAGTCTATTTTGTGTTCTTTGCGTTCCCGAAAAAAATTCTGTTAGCAGTTGAAGAATTGTCCAGAGGTGTTGTCTAAGCACGGAAATAGTTGTCCACACACAGTATTTTACGTCGTTTCTTCGCCAAGTACGGAACGTTTATCCATTTATGAGAATTTTTCGTGCCGGCAGTCATGACCACACAAGGCAAGAATATCCAAGCTTCGGAATAGAGTATATTTCGATTCCACGCATGTCGTAGTTGTCTGTGCACGGGATCTCTCCTTCCTGAAGGATTTTGTTTTTTTTAATACCTTTCTGCGAGCTTAGCCTCATACTTCCTGTGAAAAGTATACATAAAGGTAAAATAAAT